TGTCGAATATCAGAAAATTATGGAGAAAATGGCTAGCGAACCTATCGTGATGACGCAAGATCAGGCAATTGTTCCGATAATGGAAACACGCAGCTATCCGAATTTAGTTTAGGTAAGTTTGAGTAAGCAGAGTGAAATGTGAAACAATATTGAGTCGTAGTATAGGAACAAAAAAATGTGATGACCTATACTCGTATTTATAGATTAAAGCCGACCGGTCGACCCTACATATTTGTAGCCAGGGTGATGAGGGCTCGTCTGGAACTACATTTTAACGAAAATGTTAATGTTTGTGAATGGAAATAACCGTTGGGAAGTTCAAATTTCGTCCCCTATATTGAACATATTTTGTTTAAAAAGGATCTTTGGAAAGCCTGCAACTGGAGGACGACATTCTTCGATTGTCTGATCAAGAATCGGTTCATGATCCTAAACCACAAGCAGTCGCCCTACCCATACCGAATTATCCGGAAGAAATATTTTTATCGTATGAATATTGCAGCAACGTAGCGGAAATTCTCAACGTGATGGTTGACGAACTCATTGACGAATGGTGATTACTAACTTGTGTTTATTTATTTCTAATTAACGACGTTTTTTAACGACGTAGAATCAAGAGTTATGTATAATAAGAAAGTCGTATGTCCCGTCTGCTTTTACTAACGGGTAAATTTAAACGCCAGTACTGGTAACACTTATTAGAGTCACGACATAATAATTGACTAGAGCAGCGTGTAAGTTCTTTCTGCCAAGTGGCTAGTCATATATACGCACAAGTGGTTCAATTTACGATCAAGTAAAGTCCTGTTTCAGAGTTCCATCTGACACATATATATGATTCTTTACAGCCTTGAGAAAGCAAGAACAGAGGAAGCAATGGAGGCAAAACTGAAACCCATGAAAATGGAGAACGAGCCAATCAACACAAGACGTAACCACCGACGTGTTCATCCTCAACAGAAAGAAAAGGGGAAGAAATTTCTGAAATGCTTGTTATTCCCATTTGCGCGATGCTTGGGTTTACATCGCAAACATTAACAGAAAAATTTAATTATAATTGAGTGAGTGCGAGCGTAAGTGACTATTTAGGGCTATTTAGGATTCCAATACATGTTAATTAGTTGAATTTGATAATTGAAAATTATGTTCATTTTCCATTCAAACTAATTCGCGCACCCAATCCTGTACAGATAAACTCGGCTCAACTTACAACTCTGTGTCGATAGTATTTTATATAGGTAGTATTAGGATTATACTTTGTATTTATCCCACTGGTAATCGAATGCTTGCCCATTCTCCACACCTGGTCTGGTTAGGTGGGTATTCATTCTGGATGCATATAAGTAGTAATTGTTGGGGGATGTACCTCTCAACATGTACCTCTCAACTTACAGTGGTATGATTCTAATTCTGTTTTAACGTAGTGGCAAACGCATCTATCATCTAGCTAAAGACCCTTAAAGTCTTAACCCTGTTTGGCACATATATATATATAGTTCTATGTTACGAAGTTTACCAATTTGAAAGCAGCCGAATGCTCTGTCAATAATGTCGCAACTTTGGTCGCGATGACTCAGTGATTAGTGCGTTTGCATAAGATGTTGGTATCGCATTCGTATTAAAATCTCGAACCAAGGCTAGTCCGTTGTTCAAGCTCACCGATAAAGCAAAGGTTAGGTCATAAGAAATACCGTCAATCTGAGAATTATTAATGGTTAATTTATTTATAAAAAGTCCAGTCATCTTCTAAATTCGATTATTGTACTTTATTTTAACAATTGATTCACATTGGTGCGTATGTTAAAAACAATGTGTTGTAGCAATTTTCGCAAAAATTCCCGAATGAATTATCATAAATTTTTAGGCGATATTCATCAATCTTTCATTTATTTTGTACCAAAAATTAAGGCAACAACAGAACATCATTAATAAATGTTTTCAAATATCAAAACCCAGCATAAACATTCATTCAATCAACAGTGTTTCCAACGACATGGTGGTTTCACCTTGAGGCTTATGACGAGCCTGACTAGTTACGGAAATGCTTTGTTTGGATAATGTTCCTACTTGGATGTGAAATGTTTCTGTATGGCCAATTGAGCCTTGAGATTTTTTATTTTTTATACTGAAAATCTGACTATTTACAGAAACAACTTGCAGACAGTAGTGTTGCTGTATTGTTGTTCATGTTGTTGACAACAGCTTCTTTTCTGCAATTGTTAGACCAATCCCTTTAGTTCAAAGTAGAATAGTTTTGTTTTCTGAAAGTCTTTTACTTTGATTTGGTTTCAAATTATTTTTGGACTGTCCTAATTAGTGCCAATTGTTCTATTCCAAATTTGGCTAATTTCGAAGAGTTACACCAACACGCGGGTTTTTCATCCTAAATTGGTCCAAGTTATTCTCACCGAACGGTGTATGATTACCTGGCGATCCCCCGTTCACGTGGTCTGTCGAATGTCCATACGATACCAACGTAGTCAGTGCAACGCCATAACCACAACACCATCGCTCCTAAGAACGATTGTAATACTACTAAGTCTTCATTTGCTTGCATTTATTGCAGTGTTATTATTGAACCATTTCGCAAATGTGAAATTGCTTTATGTATTATATCGTACTATGATTGCATTATGGATGTAGTTTACAATTTGTTGTTGTTTGCTACAATTTGAATTTAAATATTTAATTTTGTTTTATTCAACAACGTATTTTAAGTCAGCAACAAACAATTTGTAGGTTTTATATTAACACATCAGAAATTGGTAGGGTAGTTTGTTCATTTATTGTGTTTGTGTTTGTTTGTGTGTAAGAATTTTAGTGAATATATATGTAATGTAAATAAAAGTATATATATACCATAGTCTGTTACGTTGGTTCATGCAATCCACTCAGGTTGGGTATAGTTTATTTTGGAAACATTGAAAATGACAAAAAGATCATGCTTCCCGCTTGCGAAAACTAATAAAGCGTTACTCAATGGCAAATAGTTTCATGTAAACTATTCCAACAGCCGCGATTAATATCTAATTGCTTCATGCCTTTTTTTGAGTAGAGTAAGATTTGAAGAAAAATTGATTCAAATACTGAAACCAAATAACAAGACGTAGAATTTTACAGGTTTATTAGACAATTTGATTAAACCAGGCTAAATACTTTCTTCACTGTAAGATTCAGATTAGCTGTATCTTTCTTGTAATAGGCAAAATTCGACGAGCCAATATAACAATAGTCGAACGACAACCTTTTCAGGAAGTTCACATTCTTTATGTGGGCAATTACGCGAGACACCTTGCGGCATGAGGAGTTGATTCTTTGGACCATGTTTACAAGCGTATTGTCGTTTCATTGAGCAGGGCGCACTAGCGGTGGAAAGTTTATATCATTTACATATTAACCAAGTTTTTTTTATTTGAATATATTTATCCATCAACTAATTTTTTGACATCTTGCATATATAACTTCTAGAAACGAAGCTTTCGCTAGATTGGTTTGTGATAAAGGGGTGTTAAATTAGCTGAGACGCTATCAATTTTATTAATGCTTCAACAATTAGGTTCTTAAATATAGCAAATTAAAATGTGCTGATATATAATAAGGACGATATGTAAATTCTTGTGTATTATTTTTGCGGAATTTATGTCTAACGGAATCAATGTGTATTTATAGATGGCAAGCCAATGTCAAGTGACGATTACATACATGTTTTCCACCGTCTTATCAGAACAATATGCTGTTTGTCTCTTATGAGATAAATTTATTTAATATTTAGAATCTCCACATTCCATTTGAATTTGACCGTCTCTTACGTGTACGGCAAAATCCCAGTTCATATAATTCTACATATATATATATATATATATCGACAAAAAATTTAGCAAAAACATTTTAACATTAAACCACGCTTTCATTATATATACAACTATCTTATTAAAAACATCCGAAACAACGTTCAAGGTTATTGATTTAATATTTGTTATTTACAAGAATCTTCAAAAAGTCAATTGCTTATCTCAGATTATATTCATTTTGCGCTGGGACTAAATTCAATTTATTTTGTTCAGTGATATGTGTATTTGTCATTATATTTATGGCTGTGGATACCATGCACATGGATGTTTGTAAACTGAGATATCATTGTACTCTCATAGCATATTGGGTTAATTTAACCAACTTAAGTTAACAGTTGGACGTGTTTTAACTCAAAATAATTCCAATTTGATTCGGACATTGAAATTAGAACCAAACTAAAGTCTAAAAACGCGATAATTAGACCACCTAATCATTTTCATTTTGTTACACCCTGTGTTTCTTATTCGATATCGAAGTGCCGTTCCTGTACATGAATATTTCTGCCAACTGTGGTGTGTTGTTCTTTGACCGTCTCATTTAATTTGCTTAAATATGTGATTTTACTGAGTAATAAAAATGCTTGTAGCGTAAAATACATTGTCTAGCTTTGCAGCAAATGAGGATCGTGTGAACGCTTTGTTATTTGAAAGCATAAATAGTGCGAAGATTAATTTTACATGAAAATACGGTTGGCAGAATATTCTCAGTCCCAATGAAGTACGGAAATTCTGTCACTTAGGTCACAACAATTCATTAGTGTACGAATAGCCCTTCCATATGAAAGTATTGTACCGCAATACTACATTAGTGCATTAACATAAAACAAACACAAATAAACCTGACGTAATTCAGAACTTACCGATCTTTTTAAACCATGTAACCTCAGTTTGAAGTCCGTATGATAACACAACCAAGTGTCCACCGATTCCTGAGCTGCAAACCAATTTACTAAGCAGGCTTCCAGCACAACACTATGAGGCGCTTAGAAAAGAACTAATCACTTTGCTTGGCGCCATTATGAAGTCTGTTTGGACTTCATTGCTGCGGTCCGTGCTAATACAGTTATGAGCAAGGCAAACGAGTGGCGAAATCGTCGTCAGCGACCCGCACACAGATACGGTGTACACGAAAACAATCCTGTTTCATGAGATGGAAAGCTGCTTTTTTATTTTAATTTTATCTAACACTTATTCTGGAAATCACTTTAAACGGCAAACAAATATAGTAGTATGAAATGCCACAAGCAATGGCACGTCCGGCGAAGTGTATTTTGTTATTGTGACGTCATAAACGTAACAATTTTATTAAAATTGATTTATATTTTGAGAAAATATCAATTGCACAGTTTTCACCGCGTGAACAACTAGATGACAATTATGCAGTCGAGAATGAATATTATGAAAGCTTCTGGGGATATGATGGTAAGCAATTAATTGAAATTTAAATGCCAGTATGCACATGCCTGCGGTATGCGATAACTGTGTCGATTTTTTTTTCTACAAAAGAATATGGGAGACTTTCTCACAAAAGATTATGAACCTATCATTAATCTTGTACATCAGCTGACTACTTTTTTGTAGAAAAGGGTTATTAGGGTGAAGTTAAGATAGCGTAAACGTTAACAAACCTCTTCGCTATTAGTGCACCGAATATACTAATACATATCATCTTTCTGAATTTTCGCTTCATTTTGGGCATGATATTTGTATCACTACTATTTAAAATGTCCATGGTACAATTTATTTTAATTTACATAGATCTCACCACTAACGACAACCAAAAAGTGGAGAAGCGAGTACTATCTCAATCCATCAATCATTCAAAAACCGAAGCAGGAATGCTGGCTGAGCACTCAAAGTTCACCTTGCATCTTGAGTAAGTATATTTTTTTAAAATATGTAATGGAATTTTTAAAATATAGATGTTAAAAAATTAGTTATAAATTCCCAGGTTTGTTCGAAACGAAGCATGTCGAATATCAGAAAATTATGGAGAAAATGGCTAGCGAACCTATCGTGATGGCGCAAGATCAGGCAATTGTTCCGATAATGGAGACACGCAGCTATCCAAATTTAAGTAAGTTTGAGTAAGCAGAGTGAAATGTGAAACAATATTGAGTCGTAGTATAGGAACAAAAAAATGTGATGACCTATACTCGTATTTATAGATTAAAGCCGACCCGGTCGGCCCTACATATTTGTAGCCAGGGTGCTGAGGGCTCGTCTGGAACTACATTTTAACGAAAATGTTAATGTTTGTGAATGGAAATAACCGTTGGGAAGTTCAAGTTTGGTGCCCTATATTGAACATATTTTGTTTAAAAAGGATCTTTGGAAAGCCTGCAACTGGAGGACGACATTCTTGGATTGTTTGATCAAGAATCGGTTCATGATCCTAAACCACAAGCAGTCGCCTTACCCATACCGAATTATCCGGAAGAAATATTTTTATCGTATGAATATTGCATCAACGTAGCGGAAATTCTCAACGTGATGGTTGACGAACTCATTGACGAATGGTGATTACTAACTTGTGTTTATTTAGTTCTAATTAACGACGGTTTTAACATTTTATAACGTAGAATCAAGAGTTATGTATAATAAGAAAGTCGTATCTGCTTTTACTAACGGGTAAATTTAAACGCCAGTAATGGTAACACTTATTAGAGTCACGACATAATAATTGACTAGAGCAGCGACACATATATATGATTCTTTACAGCCTTGAGAGAGCAAGAACAGAGGAAGCAATGAAGGCAAAACTGAAACCCATGAAAATGGAGAACGAGCCAATCAACACAAGTCGTAACCACCGACGTGTTCATCCTCAACAGAAAGCAAAGGGGAAGAAAGCAAGCAAGTTCCTGAAATGCTTGTTATTCCCATTTGCGCGATGCTTGGGTTTACATCGCAAACATTAACAGAAAAATTTAATTACAATTGAGTGAGTGCGAGCGTGAGTGACTATTTAGGGGCACAGAGTTGTAATCGAGCTGCTTTTAACCCATATACTTGACCAGAATTCACAATTCCAAGCGCCATCCAGAATTAAAATTGTTGTATTTGTAAATTTAATGAGATTGGTAAAATTATTTAATAATGTAAACAAATCTTTATAGGGGATTCCAATACATGTTAATTAGTTGAATTTGATAATTGAAAAATATGTTCATTTTCCATTCAAACTAAATCGCGCACCCAATCCTGTACAGATAAACTCGGCTCAACTTACAACTCTGTGTCGATAGTATTTTATATAGGTAGTATTAGGATTATACTTTGTATTTATCCCACTGGTAATCGAATGCTTGCCCATTCTCCACACCTGGTCTGGTTAGGTGGGTATTCATTCTAGATGCATATAAGTAGTAATTGTTGGGGGATGTACCTCTCAACATGTACCTCTCAACTTACAGTGGTATGATTCTAATTCTGTTTTAACGTAGTGGCAAATGCATCTATCATATAGCTAAAGACCCTTAAAGCCTTAACCCTGTTTGGCACATATATAGTTCTATGTTACGAAGTTTACCAATTTGAAAGCAGCCGAATGCTCTGCCAATAATGTCGCAACTTTGGTCGCGATGATTCAGTGATTAGTGCGTTTGCATAAGATGTTGGTATCGCATTCGTATTAAAGATCTCGAACCAAGGCTAGTCCGTTGTTCAAGCTCACCGATAAAGCAAAGGTTAGGGCATAACAAATACCGTCAATCTGAGAATTATTAATGGTTAATTTATTTATAAAAAGTATAGTCATCTTCTAAATTCGATTATGGTACTTTCTTTTAACAATTGATTCACATTCGTGCGTATGTTAAAAACAATGTGTTGTAGCAATTTTCGCAAAAATTCCCGAATGAATTATCATAAATTTTTAGGCGATATTTATCAATCTTTTATTTATTTTGTACCAAAAATTAAGGCAACAACAGAACATCATTAATAAATGTTTTCAAATATCAAAACCCAGCATATAACATTCATTCAATCAACAGTGTTTCCAACGACATGGTGGTTTCACCTTGAGGCTTATGACGAGCCTGACTAGTTACGAAAATGCTTTGTCTGGATAATGTTCCTACTTGGATGTGAAATGTTTCTGTATGGCCAATTGAGCCTTGACATTTTTCATTTTTTATATTGAAAATCTGACTATTTACAGAAACAACTCGCAGACAGTTGTATTGTTGTTCATGTTGTTGACAACAGCTTCTTTTCTGCAATTGTTAGACCAATCCCTTTAATTAAAGTAGTTCAAAGTAGAATAGTTTTGTTTTCTGAAAGTCTTTTACTTTTGTTTAGTTTCAAATTATTTTTGGACTGTCCTAATCAGTGCCAATTGTTCTATTCCAAATTTGGCCAATTTCGAAGAATTGCACCAACACGCGGGTTTTTCATCTCTTAAATTTGTCCAAATTATTCTCGCCGAACGGTGTATGATTACCTGGCGATCCCCCGTTCACGTGGCCTGTCGAATGTCCATCCGATACCAACGTAGTCAGTGCAACGCCATAACCACAACACCATCGCTCCTATAAACGATTGTAATACTACTAAGTCTTCATTTGCTTGCATTTATTGCAGTGTTATTATTGAACCATTTTGCAAATGTGAATTTGCTTTATGTATTATATCGTACTATGATTGCATTATAGATGTAGTTTACAATTTGTTGTTGTTTGCTACAATTTGAATTTAAATATTTAATTATTTTGTTTTATTCAACAACGTATTTTAAGTCAGCAACATACAAATTGTAGGTTTTATATTAACACAACAGAAATTGGTAGGGTAGTTTGTTCATTTATTGTGTTTGTGTTTGTTTGTGTGCAAGAATTTTAATGAATATATATGTAATGTAAATAAAAGTATATATATACCATAGTCTGTTACGTTGGTTCATGCAATCCACTTAGGTTGGGTATAGTTTATTTTGGAGACAATGAAAATGACAAGAAGATCAAGCCTCCCGATTTGCGAAAACTAATAAAGCGTTTCATGTAAACTATTCCATCAGCCGCGATTAATTTCTAATTGCTTCATGCCTTTTTTTTTTATTAGAGCAAGATTTGAAGAAAAATTGATTCAAATACGGAAACCAAATAACAAGACGTAGAATTTTACAGGTTTATTAGACAATTTGATTAAACCAGGCTAAATACATTCTTTACTGTAAGATTCAGATTTGCTGTATCTTTCTTGTAATAGGCAAAATTCGACGAGCCAATATAACGATAGTCGAACGACAACCTTTCCAGGAAGTTCACATTCTTTATGTGGGCAATTACGCGAGACACCTTGCGACATCGAGGAGTTAATTCTTCGGACCATGTTTACAAGCGTATTGTCGTTCCAGCGAGCTGGGTACACTAACGGTGGAAAGTTTATATCATTTACATATATACTATTTTTTTTTATTTAAATCTATTTATTCATCAACTAAACTTTTGACATCTTGCATATATAACTTCTAGAAACGAAGCTTTCGCTAGATTGTTTTGTGATAAAAGGTCGTTAAATTAGCTTAGACGCTATGAATTTTATTAATGCTTCAACAACCAGGTTCTAAAATATAGCAAATTAGGATGTGCTGATATATAATATAAGGACAATATGTGAATTTTTGTGTCTTATTTTTGCGGAATTTATGTCTAACGAAATCAATGTGTATTTATAGATGGCAAGCCAATGTCAAGTGACGATTACATACATTTTTTTCCACCGTCTTATCAGAACAAAATGCTGTATGTCTTATATGAGATAAATTTATTTAATATATAGGTAGTTTAGTGACCAGAAATAATATAAAGATGATTTTTTTTTTCGCCTCTAGGCTGCCATATTCACTAAAATATAGGCTCTGATGGCGTTGATGTTTCGGGAAATAACGATAAACAAATTCGTTTTAGGCTTCCAAGTTCATTAGTCCCATCCATATCTACAATATAGATCAAAAAAGCCATGTAGAATACGGTTAATAAACTTTTAATCCATGGATAGTTTATAAATACCTAAACCGAAATTTGAGGATTAAACAGCCATATTTTCTCCTACCAATCACGAACTATAGATAACAAGTGTATTTCATTTATATACACGCAAGTCACGCTTGATCCAAACCTCAAACCATTACGTTAATAAAAAGATAGTATACGTATTCTATAACAAGCAAAACACGTTTTCGATAATTTGTATTGCCTGGGGGTATTTGCCTTCATTTACGATATTGTGGAAGCCGTTGACCAGCAATTAGATCAAATGCTGCACAGTTTATTAGATATTACTGGTCAGTTATATAGATATCAGTGATATCAATTGCTGGTACAGATCATTTCAAATCAACTTTTAGTTTCTGTGAATATGTTGGAGGTTGGTAGCAGTCTGTAAAAGTGAAAATATGCTTGGCAGTAATATGTGAGATCGCCTGTGTCCTGTAGCATAAATGTCTATTATCAAAAAATAAGGACGTTGAAGTAACAACACCACTTCTTACGTAAATTCATTTGATGCTTTTAATAGGTGATAACCAATTTTATGCAACCGCGTTATATGTAGTTCAGTATTGAACCTAAAAACTAAGTGTTGCAAAAATCTTCAATGCATATTAAATTTCAAGTTATTTTCATTGAGAGTTTCAATTACATTGTTTATAAATTGTATTTCAGTGGCAATGTAAACTTCGATCTAACATTTATCACCAATCTAACTTGAATTAAAACCAGTGAAAGTAAGTTGAGCTGTTACAATGAGAATGGGATAAGTGATGCTGTCAAGGTTAGAGGTTGATATGAGCGAACAGATGTTTTGTTTACAACATACCGTTATAAGTCAATTTTATATTTTAATTATTAGGATTTGAGTTACCGGACTTAAATAATGTCCAGTGTGCATTTTAGCTTTCGTTTTCGATTGGATCTGGAAAAGCTTGGCTGGAGGCTAAGGTTGAACATTTGTACCATGATTTAAATAAAAGCTCAATTATGTGCGTGGACATATATACTGCTTGTGTTATATAAATTTCTCTTAATGTAAATTTACAGAATAACCAAATTAAAAAATTAAAAAATGAAACAACATTGAATCCTTGAAGATTTCCTGGCGCATTTTGTTTTTATGATTTTTATTGAAAAAAAAACTTTTCCAAGATGAAGAAACTTTTTAAGCATCTTGCGATTGTTATTTTTGCGACAACTATGTTGATGCTCGTTGCAATGCAAATATACCTAAACACTGATAAAGAAAACAGACTTTTTCTTCAAATACGAAATGATCATTACGAAGAGCGGAATTTTATAAAAAAAGATTATAATACAGAAAATAATGATGAAAATGAAGATCAAGAAACGACTTCGGAAAGCAATGATATTTCGGAAAGCACTGTTCAAGATGAAAAACTAATGGAGAAATATACTGAAAAACAGGAAAAAGCGAAGGAATATACAAGGAAATACACCAGCACTGAAATTCCAACAGAGGGATATGGCGACAAGATTGTTGCAGATTCTGTAAGTCAAATCTCCACCTCTTCGTTTTCGTTATGATTTGAAATCGCATCATATATCTTTCAATTTATCCTCAAGATTGGTATCAGGATGCGTTGTGTAATCATCCCTTATTTTAGTGCAAGAAAATTTCTCCAAAATTTTATATCGTTTAATGAGTTCACCATAAAATAAACGTAAATTGTGATTCATTTCCTCTGAATGGAATGTTTTTCTTTTCCCATCTTCTGGATCGGCGTTAGTAGTAATTCAAAATTGCTATTTGTTCTGTGGACAAATTATCATCCAATCTGTTATACTAACTTTCATTACTATATTTCAGAATGAAGAAGTGACAATTGAGCCTGACAGCATTGACAACGCATCAGAGCAGAAGCCTATCTACAGGTCATATGAAAGTGAACCACCAGAAACGGAAAATCGTTCCAAATCTCAAGAGTCGGAATCACCCAAACGAGCTAACGCCGAATCGAACAAACTTTCCATTTGCCCAGAATATTCGAAATTATTGGGTATTGAAAATATATATCTAACTTTAAGAAAATAATATCATTTAATTGATATTGAATGAGATTTTTGTACACAGTGGTTGATAAAGACCGTACTAAGGCTTACTGTGGTTGCAGTATATCTACATTTGGCATGTTTTGAGTTGAACTTCCTCTGTCTGAAAAATACCCATGCGGGTTCCGTGTCAGTATGTGTGTAGTACAATTTCTGGTTTCTAATCTCTCTCCGCCTTTCTGTATAAGACGTAGACTGATACATAGTGCCGCTTTTTATTATGCCTATGATAGCATAAGAACCTTTTCATATGCCACACTGAGAGACCGACAGTCCTAAACTAACGGATCTAGTGGTTGTTCAATAAACCGTGAAAACGTCGTATATTGCAAATGTGTTCTTTAATAATAAAATCTTCTTCTCCAGTTGGTCCTCTTCAAGTGAACGCATCATACTCTCCTACCGAAGATGAAGCTATGAAGTCAGGCGGAACTATGGAGAACGGTTGCTTTGAACCTACTTGGTGCGTGGCACGTCAAACTGTGGCCATCATTATACCATATAAAGATAGAAAAGAGCATCTTATTACGTTGATGAATCATCTAAACCCTATTTTACAGGTGCGATTATTATTTGCTAAATCCATAGACCATAAATATATTGGATATTTTTGCAATATATAATGCTAAAGTTCAAAAATTAGCCAGTTCAAATATGATTCAGCGTGATATCTATGACAGCGAAGTTAACATTTAAACTATGTCAACGAATTAGATGCTCAAAAATTTACAGAAATGTAGTCATCATGACGAACTAACATTTGACAAGCAACAACAGAGAATAACAAAAAAAGAAAACGGCAATTCGCCATATCTTTTTTATATCTTGTGCGGTGAAATCATCCTTTCCCAAATTTATTTATGATTCTCATCATTTTTCAGCGGCAATCACTTCGATACTGCATTTTTGTTGCTGAGCAATTTGATAATGGAGCTTTCAATAAAGCGCGTGTGATGAATGCAGCTTTTCTGGAAATTATAAAATTTTCAAAAATTAATTTTGATTGTGTCATTTTTCATGATGTAGACATGCTTGTGGAAGATGACAGAAATTTACACACGTGTTCGAAGATGCCAAAACATCTTTCTCCGGGTAAAATTCCACAGTTGCTTCGTTTGATATAAACTGAACTAAATGGGTATCATTTGACTTCTGGAATCCAAGTGTTTTTATGTTTCAATCCTACTCCAAAGATTTTCGTCTATTTCTATTGGGAATTTTTTTGTAAAGTATTTGTTATTAAGCGCTTGTCGAGTGGAAATTTTTCTAAACTTTCAAGTTTTATCGGAATTTCATGTCAATATAATTTGCACGAAAATAATGAGGAACTGTTAGTAAAGAGGGAGAAATGCGATTAAAGAGTTATGTCAGTTTACCACTGGATAAAATTTATTTCAAAAATATATTATATATTCATCTGCAACCCTTACCAGTGAAGAGAATGCTTAACAAAGCGAGCGAGTTGACATCATGACGCATTTTCAGCGTCGTTCTTCTTTGTAAAATTAAACACCTTAAACTTGTCCAAATCTTAAAAGTATTGTCATTAAAGTAATTATTGTTCTTTTATTTTTTAATTAAGCTATTGACAAATTTAACTACACTCTAAACTATGGCACGAGATTTGGCGGAGTCACTGCAATATCTGTAAAAAATTACATAAAAGCAAACGGACACAGCAACAATTTTTGGGGATGGGGTGGAGAAGATAACGATATGGAAATGAGGTAAGCATAGAATGACTTTGATATTTAATAGCCTGATTGTTGCTCGTCTGAATTATTTTTCAGTATGCTCATCTGCAAGATAATTGGTAAAAATTATCTTAAGTTTTCAAGCGCAAACTAAACGGTAGACGCGTTACATTTTCCCTCTCTAACTCTTTTTTATTGTTAGGATAGAACTTTTCAGCACAGCCCTTTTGGTAAGCACGATTGAGTAGATGAACATACAAATATTCTGCGTACTTCTTGGATTTGGCTCACTTGACTTTGATAAGATTCAGATCGGAGATCCGTTCAAGCATTCTTTTTTACCAATGACTAAGCAAGCCTAAAAATGTTATTTTTCAGAATTGCTCGTAATAAAATGGTGATTGTTTCAACCAATACCACATATGGAAGATACAAAATGATTCCTCATGAACATCCCTGGTGGTTTAGTCCGTTATATGGGATAGGCAGCTATCTGCATTCGTGAGTTTCATATTATCAGAATTGACGTATAACATAAACATCTGATGAATGTAATCATTCTACAAGTCCGGAATAAATAAAAAATAATCATGTTTTCCACTAAAAGTTAGTTATCAGTTTACAATAGAAACAATTTCTCGAGGTTCGTTTTAGCATATTAGCATTCATCACAAATGTTTGACCCGTAACTCATATATATTGAGCAATATAAAAATTAGTATATGTATATATAGAGCTCTTAAACTCTTAACATTTATATATAGGCTACATGCTTTGCAGAGCTATTGGTATTTGGATGTATACTTAATATCATTCCGTTTGGCGTGTCATTGTACACTCTGTGCGAGATTGTCATGAAAGCATTCATAAACCTACAAAGGCTTAAAATATTATTGTTATAATATTGTTGATTGATGTCATGTTTTTATTACAATTTTCGTATTCAAATTTGACAGGAGAAGACATTGGAGTGTGAAAGGGATAGATAACAGCGGGCTTGGTGATATTCGTTATTCATTAAAATTCTCTAGTCAACATAAATTGTGGACTAAAATGACAATTGATATAAGTGAGTTATAAGTATATACTGATCCGATATTCTATTAGTATCAACAACAGTGATTACTCTATCAACATAGCAGCTAGATAAATACTTCCGGTAATATTGTTAACATCAGCAACAACGAATGCATACACCTACGTAAGGTCTACTCTTCCGCTAACGACTACAGTAAAGTAAAAAATTGAGTTGGGCCTTGAAAATACTGGGTATATTGGTCAAAAAATTGGCTGGAAACTTCCGGATAGACACCGGTAAAAAGAATTCGAAATTCGAAACAAATATTTATAGAGAAGCAGGAAATATGGCGGCATTACAGGAATTAAATTTGAAAAATTGTCTCTTTTTACATAGGAACAATCTTGGTAGAGAAAGCAACAGTTCGTTTTTATGGATATGGAGATGTTGGGGATCTTGAATTTACAAGTCCGTCACAAGAGACGGAAAAGGGAACGCAGATGTCACCGATTACCCCAGCTCCGATGAACTGTTTTTATAGAAAGTTTACCGGGAAAACAGTGAACAAGACTCTCGGAATTCGGGTAAGGAATTTTTTGCTGTGCGTTAAAATTTTCCCTGTGTCAACATATAAACGCAACATCCGCAATATAAACTAAACCTTCATCTTGAACAATTATTGTTTGTCTCCAGGAAAAAGTCAAATACGGTCGTATGTACAAAACCTTGGAAGAGGCTGAAAAAGTTTGTAATGAAATGCAATCTTATTGTGGATCAATTGTTGAACAAATGCCTGGGCGATATTCACTGCGTTCTACTGCATTTATGCATGAAAAGAATCTCCACTACTTAAAGGTAAGTCAAGGCGGTTTCTCAAACACCAACTCCCGAACGCAATCTTTATAAAGTTCTCCTGTGTTGTGTCATTTTCCTAATGTTTTCGTACAACCCTTGCTATCCTGGTTCAGAAAATTACTGCCAGCGGGTTCTCAACGACCGCGTATTTTAATATTTACCGGTAGGCTACTCCATGTGGGCTACATATATATAATTGCATTAGTTATTCGGTCCGCTTATATTGCATACTTATATACAAGCATACAATTCTTGAGCCCGACTTAATATTGTCCTAGCAGCGAGCAAATTGTGTATATATATTGCTGTTACTATTTATGTTAAGACGAAATCGAATTATATCTTCGTATATTCCCGTATTTGATTACAGGGAATGGTGAAGCAAGAGGAAGTCATAGAGAATCATCCAACACTCTCAGTTCATGCTAAATCATGCCCAGGGTCAGCCAGTTACCTCAATTTTTTCGTTAAGCCTATTGTAATGGTGGGTGACGCTGAAAAAGGTAAGTTGCTATTTCGTTAATCGCATGCAGTCGTTTGTTAGCGAATTATTGCAGCAATCCTCCAGATTGAACAAAAGTTTTGAGTATAGCAAATAGAGACACAAGACACACTGTTGAGTTATTTGATTTATTGGTAAACTATAGAAATACAATGAATGCCTTAACATCTACCCTTGGACAAATGCAGGATAATCCGCCTGAATTTAGACAAATAGGCATTTGTATAGGCCTTCAATATTATGTAGACTGTAGAGTGTCAGAATCGAGCAAAACTATCTCCTAACGATGGCAATACACACGCTATTTATCGTGATCCAGGCCAGGCCTCAGGAGTAATGTTGCATGGGAACTTCTACTAGGCCCGACTCGTACTTAATATATATATATATATACTGCTTTGACCCCTGTCTTTTTGTCATAAAATTTCTCAGCATGTGTTATCTGTCAATAGCATCAGATAACTTTTGACTGTCATGATTATTGAACTAAAAAAAAACAGGGCGGTATAAGTACATCACCGTGGGTTGCCAAATGTCTTGTGTTTCTTCATTGGCTGTGTAAAAATAAGAAAAGCAGATACGGTTAAAATGATATTGACTGTCATTAAAATACAATAGAAAAGTGTGCAGAAAATAAAAAAATATATTTTAAGTCAAAACTAAGTTGATATGTATATTCGAAAGACAAGATAGTAGAAACAAGTAGTTTAAATTATATAAAACCGTTAGTTCATGCTTGGCGTATACTTGGTCGCGGCTCGAATATATACCTATTCAAACAACTTTGCTACTCATTAACATCCAGTCTACTGGTAACCAATAAATACGCTTCGTCCCAGACTCAAAGCGTACGTCTAATCTAAATACCCTCGCATTTAGGACTAGCAATGCTTATAATTTGATTAGTATTTAACAAGTTTTGTTTATGTAACAAATTTACTCATTTCAGGTCCGTCTCCCGCATACTTTGTTGAATTTAGAATAAAGATATTCTACGACATCAACACAACTTTGTACTATAATTCAGATATAATGACCGCCCACAGGTGAGATCATGTCACGGGTAACTAAATGAAAAGACCATGGTTCCAAAACGGGCTTTGTTTTTAATGTAGCTCATCTGTACTGTTATTAGACTTTACTTGCGTTGGTGATTAATTGAAAGTATAACTGTAATTAAAAATATCTCAATTGCATAATTTATGGAAACAAAATATGTTCTATGTCATCGTTAAAGTACGTCTATAAGCTTAAGTTGCACTAAGACTTCCGTACAATGCATCAAATTACTCAACTAATCCTATATTTCATTTCTAGAGCAATCATACAGGAAAAAGTTCATGCAAATATTGAGGAAATGGGGACATGGGATACACTAGGAAATGTTTACTCTAGTAAGTTCTAGTAAATTCTCCCTAAATTCATCTTCAAGATCTTCATAGATAGCTAAAAAAGTCCAATATTGGAGCCTATAAATTTTAATGTTATTTCCTAGATCGTGTCAAACTTCTCAATACTTCTGATGCAGCAAGTGTAGCCAAAATTATGCCTAAAACGTACAAGAACATGAATGAGGTTGTTAAAAATGGTGATGGAATATTACACATCAAATCTCCAATAACCGGAATTCTTCGAAACCCTGGATGTTATGTATGTAAAGGCAGTCTCGTGGATGTAAATGGGGCAGCTCTTTTGCAGTGGAAGTGGTGGTTTGAAATAAGAGCAAAAACGAAAGAAATCGAAGACGAAATTTTGGTGAGAAATTCGTTCCTATCATAGAAGCAGCGTCTTTATTGTATTCTTACAATCCGAATTGAAATTTTTTGGTCAAATACTATCAGGTTTAGGGTCACGTATAATAACCACGAATGGACTTATACAATTTAACATGAAAAATATCAATTTACTGTCACAAAATCAGATTTTGAATAGTTGCTGCGCCGTCGGTAAAAGAACTGTCGAAATACCTCGAAATCTTTTTGCGATTTCTCTCAAGTAATACCTAAACTAAGGCGTTCCACCACACTTAAAATTAATTTTTTCGTGAAAACAATTTTGTGACAGATGGGTAAAAACATTTGGGTCGATATGTGTTGGAAATGCTAGATTCGCGCTCAACACAAATAAACCTCACAAATACGTTATCGTGTTGTAACTTATTTTTATTGTTTACTCAGGTGAAGCAATTGAAGAAAGCAAGGAAAGCGGGCGTTGAATTCGCTGAAACTGTGAACAAGAGAAGACAAATGTGGTTACAATATCATGAAAAATTAAAAGAAAAAGGAGGAAATATAAAGAGCAAGTTGCCGGACAGAGTATTGGAATTAGTAAGAAAGGAGTCGCTGCAACCTGAACATTGAAGTTTTCAATCGCTTTTGCCAATTATCAAAAATGTCATTTCTATAACATTAAGAATTCGAAAACGAATCTGTTTGTCATGTATTAGTTATGGTGTATATTACAACGCAATTGCGATAAATAGGTATTGTCTATCGAAACGATATTATTTTATTTAAAAAAGAAGGTAAATTTGAAGCATTATATTAAGATTAAAGTCCATGGTAATTTCGGAAAAAATGAAATTCGAAATAGTCAACGTAATACCCCAATATAGTTAGGCCCAAACTGCTCTCAGTACAAGCTAATTGCTTCAAAACTTTAATTCATTCAAAGGAAGATAACATACAAGCAGAGTGAGTCTAAAACCCTGTTCTAGCAAACTGACATCAACATGATGTTTAAGATTTCTCGTGAAAATTTACAACAGGTGGCGACAACGCATTTATACCATTTTCGTACTGGATATGCAACAACTTTTGTAGTTGTCCGTTTCTCATTTTTGATTTCTATCAACATTTTATTTATATTGCAAATTGTCAAATTTTATTTTTTTTCAATATCGTTTAAATACATTAAACAGTTATGAACGCATCATTTATCAATTCAAAGTACTAAGATAATCGACTAGATATCCCTTCGCGTTCATCGATTCTATAAACTAGTCAGTCGGCTCTAAAACCATGCTCAACTCCAATTAGGATAGGAATGTTACGAGACGGTGTTTGCATCAATGGTTGGTTTCTTCATGGAAAATGAGAGTCTTACAAATTGCAAAAATCGACAGTTTTCTCAAACTGATGCTAGTACTCTAGTTGGTGACTCGACTGCACGACGGCAGTTTGCACACTTGGCACAAATGCTGGATAGAGTGCAATCTCCAACAAAATAATAGAGCAGCAAGCTATCAATCAAACAAATATTTCACATTTGACATTTGCATGAACATCCAAAATTGAATAATGCTTCTCTATCGCGGAAAAACTACATGACAACTAAGTAAAATTGAAGAATAAAATGACAATAATATCGGTGTTTTAATGCCAGCAGACCTGTAATAATCACATTAAAGGCATTATATGGGCGAGGGTATTGTTGTAGCGACAGATTGGCAAATGTTATATATATATAGAATCCCCAGTTCCATACACAGTGCAGCCCGTTAAATTGAATGATGAGCACTGAAATTTGGCAGATGAAACAAAATCCTGTATACATGTTAAAAATTTTCGGCCCTTGATCCAAAAATCTTGATGCCCAACTCTGCTCTGGTTGCTTGAATATTTGATATTTGTTCGTTTTATATATTATAGGAAAGGGTTAGATAACTTATGCTTTTCCCGCAACTCGTGCATAATGAAGTAAATATTGTCACTGTTATGGTAAGATTGGCGTCACTTGTCTCGGTAGGCCAGTGCAGCAATATGGGTCATATTTGATAAAAAAAAAAGTGCAGTCCCCTGTAAGCCCGTTGTCTATGTGGTCAAGTTGCCTGAATTCAGTCTTTTATGTAGGAATTAGATCATCGAATAGATATTTGATTCCCCTGTTCTTCATCGAAAGGCCACATTTTATATTGGATCTGTTTGTGATGAAAAACGAAAAAAATTTCACAACACTTAATAAGGTTGAACTTATAATACTAGTGGTGATAGTGTCTGTTACATACTGCTTCCATAGACATTACACTTCGTGTATTGAAAGAAGGTGCCTTGCATATGGAGCAATTCGAAACCGACATAGTTCTTTTTTAGGCTATTTCTATCCATGTCAAATTTGATTCAGTCAGTTTAAATAAAGCATTCTCGTAGAGAAATCTAGTAGTTCGTTTGCACTGAAGCTCATCTATAGAAAAACCCTTAAATCAAAATTTCAATAAACCACCTACTCATCTTTTAAAAGCAGTAATGAACAAAACGACTACCCAAACTTACCTCATAATGCAGTCTAGACTAATTTTAAAGCTGTTCTAGATTTTATTGAAAATATTAAAACATTATTAGTGTTCACTGTTATAATATTCAACTCCTATTTTAAACATGACGTACCAAGAGGATCCACAGCACCAGATTTATGCACATACCATACCAAACGGGTTTTCAGGTTAAGGCGTCCATAGCCAGAGTTTGAGTCTTCCTTCTTTTCCGTACGTTTTTCGAGATAATAAAACTTCGTCGAAGATTGTCGCATTTATGGGTCCCAGATAGCAAAAGAACAAAGTGCCAGTCCCCAAGTTTCTTTTTTAAAACAGTACCTCACTAAAATCTCACACCAGTCGTCAGAGCTACGAAATGGCAGTCCAATGTCACAAGTGAAAATTCCCGTCACAAGCATCTGCTCAAAGTCGCTATTTCGAATTGACGGTAAACATAGCGAGGCGCACAAAGATAAGCCAGTTCTTGTTTCAAGATGACGAGAGAGTAAACTCAAACCACACAAGAACCCTGTAAGATATTAATGATATTAATGTATTTAATAAGGTCCATATGTGGCCATTTCAAGATTTCATGAAGGGCCTTTATTAAAATTATGTTTATTGTTTATAACGGACTCTTGAGTGACGTAGCGAGTATATCATTTTGTCGCTATGTTCAATATTGACTCTCCAAAACGGAGTTGATAACGAACGCTCATTCAAACAATCCAAGATATCGGAAGCCTTCCCATTAAGAACCGCCTTGATAAAACGATCCACGTTGTCTTTTGAGTAATGACACAGGAACGAATTGCGTCGTGTCACGTTAGTTATATCGAGAATTCGTACTATAATACACATGAGGGGTAAATGATATTACGCAATAACAAATTTTCACTTACTATTAGGCTGTTTGACAACGGTACATTGTGACTTCGCTAAGAGGTTTAGACCAAATGCATAAAGTTTTTTTGTTTTTGTTTATACCATTTAAGTCAGTCTTAAATTGAATCAAAAGTAACTGTAATTGATTTATATCGTTTTAGCGATCCTATAATACACCGCCTTGTTACCGAAAATTTTACGGTCATCTTTGCACTGTCATCTTTGTGTTAGCCCGTAGCCCAGTTTTGTGTGAATATAGGCAACCCTTAGGTGGAGAATCGAAACCATTTGGAACCATTGATTGGTTTGATAAACTCTTTATAAATGTACGTTCAGCATCGAATTCGCAGCTCTGATCAAGAGAATATTTGGCTTCGAGTTTCGGCTTATTTAATATTGCATCCATTTATATCTTTTATTGTTGATTTTTACCTCATTTTGAAAAACCGTTGATTCTTGATACCTAGGACATCAATAGCATATTGTTCTACAGTTACTTTTAATGTTTGCTTCGAACTAATGGCTGTTCATTTCGATTCGTCAAAAAGATTATTTATTTGTTTGCTTATTCTGAGTATTCACATAAATATTGTCAACATAAGTTACTTTGATCATTTGACGGAAAACCGTTTACGCTGTGGACGCATTGTTCAGATTCGAAATTTTTGACATTCCTGGTAGAATTAAATGAGGGCATGTATATAAATACGCCAGTTTCCTTGTACCGACAGTACGCATCCTGAGTATCTGCCTTATTATTTAAACCCGTTGTCTGTATGGCGGACCAATAGCGCTCGTTCCAGGGGCCATTCAACGGCTGGACAATATATCGAACCCGATTCCCAAATGTTTTCCGTTTCTCTCACAAGTCCGATATTACTGTTGGTTGAGTTTCGCACAGGCGAACAACTCATTAGTCAAAAAAATAATTCTCCACAATGATTTATATCTGACAGAATAAAAATATTTTCTCATCAATATGCAATGCTGCTAAATTTAGACCATTGATATGATAATCAGTAGCAGTATTTCAACCACTGGTTGGGAATCGAAATTTTTAGAACACACAGCTGGGTCGTTGATCTGATTGAAAAAAAAAAAAAAGTTCGTTTGAGTAAAGCTTCAAGGTTGCCCATAGAAACCCTACGATATTTGCCGTATGGCTCCTACTATATGAATTCAAAGATATGTGGCCTTGTCACCCACTGGACCAACGTGGATATAATCGGAAAAAGTTTACCCTATGTATATATATATGCCATGATCGAAACGTGGTCATTGTCCCGGCTCGTTTTTGTGAGGAACAAAGAACACGTTCTAACATGGGCGGTTTACTACCAATAATAAAACCAATGATTTGAGAAGCGTTACGTACAGGAAACAAGAAGGTAACGCTCGAATATATGGACACGAAAGCGAAAACGAGTTAGCACCAAAATGGTTACATTACCGGTAGTCTAGCCACTAGGTCGGTGAAATATGGTCACGTAAACACGATATATATGGTGCGGATTTTTGAATTTTGATGACGTCTTCACACAAAAATTTGAAGTAAAAAACGAATTCCATAGAGCCAACACCATTTTTGAAATAAATAATAGCCTTCTAGAGACAACAACAATCTCTAACCACCGAAAATTTCGAAGCAATCGGCAGTCTTGACTAGAGAATGGGATTCCCACGGGATGGGACAAGCAGTACACGTGAGACAATTTCATATAAGATTATGCTTTGTACGTCAACAAAATTACCATTATGTTCTTACCGGCGCGATTTTTACGTGTTAGCACGATAATGCTTATATACAGTCAGAGTCGAAAATTGTCGCACGTATGGCGTTAGACGTAAGTGATAGGTATTATTGATACATTCTATAGAGTGCGAGCACAATTCTGGCAGGCCGATTCGGACGAAACTTGGCGTGTTAGTCTGGGATAGTGTCCACATAACCCAGAAAATTTTTCATTGCGATCGGCCAGAGAAATTTTCGTGATTTTAAGCCGGATACCTGCCAATCACAACATCAACCAAGTCACACTCGGATGATTTTGTGGTTAGAGGTCGTTTTCAGAGTAGTTTGGCGATAGGGTCGTGATATTGAATTGATATAATTATTCAATACTTTTGAATTTTAAAGTTAACAAAGTCAATAAATTTTGTCGTTTTGCATGTCTCTTCCTTCATGTAGTCTTATTCACTAGACAATAAACCTGAATTTTCATAAATTTACTAATTTTCATTGGGTTGTATGGGAATCCCATGGGATGGGTCAGGCATAAATTGTTATGGAATGGGATAGAAAAACATACCCCAAGGATAAGCTTGGCAATTGGTCCAGTAGATAAAGAAAAACAACAAGGAGAAAAATACGAAATGACAAAACAATCTATAGATTCATTTCGTGTTCAACAAGTACCGGCTTGAGCATTGAAACGTTATTGACTGATCATGAGGAATTAAGGCATGATGTATCGTACATGTGTCTTAGGTGTCGTTTTCAGAATTTCTACATATTGGCGACAATGATGACGTCGTGATTTTATTTCAGTATCGACATGGTGCAGCTGTCGGGGTTAGTAGCGGATATGGATACATATTTATGCAATGCCCAGTCGAATTATATGTAAAAAAAATTGGTAATTCTTGCGTTTGATTATTTACTATAGCAAACAACCAAATATAGCAGTAAATAATTTAATTTGATTTCGATATGCATGCATACGCTATATTCTATCTTCTGTTGAAGGATGTCGTCGTAGTCAGCCAATTCTGTCTTTTCTATTTATATCATTGGCACTATTTGCCGTCGTCTCGACCTATATCCCAAAGGACTAAACTACATTCCTATGTACTGACATAAACTCCAAAACTGCATTAAAGTGTTGACAGAAATGCAAACGTGCCTTCGCGTGCATGCTTGTAGCATGTTCCTCCCTTGGGTGTAGCTCAAAGAAATAAAAAAGTTGTCGAACAAATGTTGATTGCTATTACAATGTGTTATCATCAAAGGTTACATAGGTTTATCCAGTCGGTAAGCATGGGAATTATCAGAGGTACTTCTGGTCACAACTATTGTGTTAAGTAAATTCCAACCAGTTCGTGGCCTACTTGTAATATATATTAAATTACAAAAGATACCCAGCTTTGAGTACTTGGGTCATCCCTCAATTTTTGAAATTATAACGAGATGCTATCTTTTGGCTAAAACGAGAAGGGAGAAATTGATGATACACCCATTTGTTTGTGTAGACTGAGCGTGGGTACGTTTGGTACAGTTATGCTCATCCTAAGCCCTAACTTAGTCTTCTAAAACAAAAAATGCCAAATTATCTAGCAAATACTGTATTTTGTCGTTGTTATGATTTGATAAACATTACGAAATAAATGATGTCCTAAACATATACAGAAAACGACACAATATTTTTCTGGTTGTTCGGAGATTATAATTATTTTTAGTATTTGGTAAAAAGAAGATTAATTATTAGCTGAGATGCAAATAACTACCCGTGTGTTGGCACGAGAGGCTCTACTTTTAGGAGACGCAATTTTTTTTTATTTATATATATGCATCTTTTAATATTGCAAAATAATAGCCGGGAGACCAACATTTATTAACATTTTGGCGTTGAACCGTATGCAAAAGTAAAAAGAAAATATTTTGGATAGTTAAAACACCATAACTGCTAATAAATTCAAAGTTAATTGATTTGTCTTCTTGCTCCAAAAGACTGGCCAGCTTGGCTAGCCATTTTGTTGGTTCCGGCTTGTATTCCGATAATATTTTTGCCTTCAGCGATAGTTTTCTCGTCAAATTCACGTTTGTTTTCAATCGAGGGTTTGGGTCCGAGAACGGGCCAATCCTTTTGGTAGGAGGAAGATGATGAATCCCATTCTGGTTTCAGTTGGCACTGAAAAGAACAATTTGCTATGAGCCATCACTATAATTGAAGTACAATATATCCATTCTGGCGTGATGACAGTACAGTGTGATCTCACATCTTCAGTATGGGGGGCAACTCACATTACCACAGTCAAACAAATCACAGAAAATATAAACTTTACTTACCGCGCGACCAAGGGCGACCATTGTTGCAGTGAAAGCAGGAATATTCGAGGTTTCGTACAGATCAACTGTTTGAAACAAGTCGCCTTTTGGGACACCATAGTCCTGGGCGAATTTCAAAAAGTTTTCGATGTTCTCCATCTGAAGTCAAATAATAATTACTTTTATGCTGTTTGAGCCATTGAGCAATCTCATCTTATTGAAAAATTATATATTGAACAACAAGTCTTTATGCCTTCCCCAGTTAGAGAAATCGGATCGAAAACCGTTTATTGTAGTGTGGTAGCCAATTTCAACCGCCTTGACCTTATTTTGTACCATTTGAACTAAATATTCTAAAGTAGTACAAATTTTATTTTTCTTTCGGAGCTAAAATGCACCTATAATTGACATTCAGTGGATTTTCAGTAATAGAATAAAACTAAAAAAACAAAAAAATTATAAAGTAAGAAAAATATATATATAAATTAGTATGTTGCACTTTTAACTTATTTGAAGCCTCTCATTCATATATAAAGATAACTGTGACAAAATGTGACAATATGTTAACTGAGACCCCGATCTCATTTTCCGGTAGAATAACACTCGTTTATCACAATGATATACTTACCTTTTTGAATGGCATTGTGCTTTCTTGGATCTTCTTAACTGATTTTGGTTTCAATTTGTTGGCCAAGCTGTTGAAAATGTTGATTGTAAATCACATTGGAAAAAACAATAAACACTAAATGAATGATAGGATTCCAGAAAAAAGCTTTGCCTGGCTTTACCTGATTTGGAGAGGCTAGAATGATTGACACGGCTCGAGTTGAACCCGGGTGACCATTTACCAAAAACGTCACTCGCCATCAACTGACCACCAGTGAGACTTAACTCAGTGATGTACTTGACTCGATTGGACTTGCGTCTAAGGTTCTACCTAACACTGAACTAGGGTTGTACTAACTGAATTTTAAATTAAGAGATAATACATATGGATTGCTTACTGGCATATGAGTTGGCCATCATGAAGATTCTCCTCGTAGCTTTTGGAAGAATCGAAAGATTGACCAGTGATTGTCTCAATAAAATGCTGCACTTTGGCTTCCGCATCCGTATCGCGCTTTCCAGCAATCTAGGTAAAAAGGGTTATGAAGTAAATGAACAGAGCTTCTTCATTTTTATATAGTCTTGTATCTTACTATCTTTATAAAATTTGCCTATTTACGTCGTGCTTTAAGTGTAAACATGTGTACAACTCATTTAAATAAGGTTTAGTTTCCGTAACAACTATCAACATAAGCAATAGCTTTGCTTTCTACTTTATTATATTTCTGCGTTTACTGTTGATTCTTTGATCAGGAGTGACACGAATCCAAGGTATTTGTTCACCCTTGCCTTGTATTTGACCAGGAATCTATTGGTTATTTCAACCTACACACTGTGTAATAATATAACAACAACCAGAAGAATTTAAAATACAAATACCTCAGAAACCTTTACAGCTCATGTAGAAATTGAATATATATACATCAAATTAACTTAAAAACGCCCCACTTGGACTAGTACAAAACATTTTGTTTGTTTAACAAATTTTGTTTGAAATCATTTTTCACGACTATGGTAGGAATATTGGAGGAAATCGTCACATCATATCATCACATAAGCAATTCCACTTGCCATAGATTGTTCAAGTATTGACTGTCATGTGTAAAAGAGATGGTACAAATTTAACTAGGAACTTTTCAAAAAAATATACCTACCTTTTTAGCGACCTGAGCGCTCATGCCATACGCGAATCCCTTGTTGGCCATTGTGGTAGTTGATTAGTTAATTAGATAATTCTATGCTAAAAATGGATCTAAAAATAAATCGAAGTGCGGAAGGTTTTTAAAAAAATCTTGATTTTAGGCTGCAGTATGCAGTCAACTACTTATTTATTTGAGTGCATTTTAATTCGAGTCTTGTTGCTCACTAACACGAATGTATTTTTGTAGCGTTTCGTCTGACCGTTTCATTTGTGTTAGTTTACAGCAAGACTCTTGAATTAAATAGAATAGTTGCAGCATACATCTGAGTATACTGAAATATTATATTATGACGTTTGACGATTGAAGTTTATCAACGCCAAATTAACTGCTTACTAATCTGTTCAAGTTCATACTCTGAATTACTGAAAAAATTTAACTGAGAAAACTGTTTTAATATTTGGGAGACAACAATTGAGAATTCACCAATAATGGAACTATAAAACAATATTCCTTTCAACGACGTATTGTTTGTAGCCAATTCAATACAACAATCTGTAACTTGTATAAACTGATTGCTACCAATACCTAGCGTAGAGTTATAACGTTTACCAAAATTCTAACAATAAAGTACTGGGTTGCGAATTGTAACTGCTAAGCAAAAGTATCAGGGTGCAGTTACTCAATTATGAAGACGATATTACCAATGCTCGGAACTTTTGCTCTTTGAGTTGTTACACAAATTCAATTATACATCATTCTCCAGACGAGTGGTGAATTTGGTATGTCGGTATTGGAAGCATCTCGAAAGAGATCTTTCCTTATATGTGCTGCTCCACAAACGGGTCGCGCAAAGGATTCCCTCATCTTCCAGAAATAATCATGTTTGCCAAAGCTATCGGGAAAAAGGCGGAAATCCCACGAGTATAAAAGTATTCAAATGCGGTGATTACTAATTTTTGAATACAGCCCAGTCGGGTTATGTATTCAATTACCATCAAGCATGATCCATTGATCGTACACGCAACCAAGATGTGGACTCCATTTGTGGGCAATGCTTGGGGAAACTATTCCCGATTCGAGATTTTGTTTGATAATTCTAAAAATTTAAATCGTAATCCATGGTCATAATAATCAGTGTCTTCAATGAATATTGAACTACTTCAAATGCATCATCTGTAAGATTGCATAAGATTCCCGAAACAGGATTCTTTTAACATTTTGTAGAAAATTGTCATTTGAATAAATGTAAATACGTTATGTTTCCGCAACTGGGTAACAACAAATGATTAAAATATATTTTCTAGGAAAATGTTAGGCTTGGAATATAAAAGAAGGGATCATTTGTAGAATGATTTTTATTTTTAATTCTCGAGAGACTGTTATATTTTTTCTATATTCGTTGCAGTTACAATAGTCATCTCAGATGAAGTATTTGACTTTCCATCTAATTTCGTGCGTTCGTATCTTTGCAATTCATATCGGTGTTCAAATTTTTCTGAATTAGTTCACCTTTAGCAACAGATTTGTTAAGGCCTAGTTTTAGAAATTCAGCAATCCCCATGTGGAACAGCTGAACGTTACGTCATTTGAAATAGCTGACAGTGTGACGTCGTGGTATTGAAGAACATGGGAGTGATCAGCTGAGTCACCTCTATGTTTGAATCATTTCTTCAAGAATTGTGGAGATCCATTTGATGCTGCTTTAGAACCGGATCCCAACATGGACCTGGCTCTTATATGTTGAGAAAGACGAAGAAGTTTTCGAAGCGAATATCTTTGGAAGCCCTGCGATCTCTACAGTTTTATTAATGGTGTTAAACTTCATTTCCAGTAGAATCGGACGAACTTTCACTTCCTTGAACTGTGATTCAGTAAAACTGGATGTGTATTGATTCATTGCCCCAAGTAAATATCAGTTTTAGAATCTATAAAAGACGGCTGTTTTTATCTGGGCTATTTGACTTTGGTGCAGTAAAATATTTACGACAAACTTTACCACGCTAATCTTAGCACAATTATCACCAATATTAATTCAGGTTAGAGACATTTGAAATAATATAAACAGTAAGTCTTTACATGAATCATTGCAATTTCCAATACACATCATCTGTTGCTGCCCTCTGTATATACCTAATTCAAATGAACCCGCTTCGGAGATGAACATTTAGATAGCGATTGGGCCATATACTCTTCCATACTCCAGTAGTATACATTCGAAGGTTTAGATCGCTGGCTTGAAAATTATCCGTATAAGTGAAGCTTGTCTTATAGGGTGACGCACCCTTTCATATCTAATTTTATTACCTAATTTAGTTTTTATCATTTCTATTTACAACCTAATAGTAAAAGCCACCATATGAAGATTTTCATCGGTAGCCGGCGCTGTTTGAATTGGCAGAATCTTTGCGGTTCACAATAATAACGATTATATACGTCGCATAGAACAGTGTTGTTATGGCCTTGAGATAATAAATACCATCCTCCACGCATAAACCGTCAACGTGTTCGGATAGCATGTAGTATTATTTTTTTTTAATTATTATAACGTATATGAGAACTAGTTTGTGTAAAATCATCAATCGGCACGATTCAAGGTTAATCAGGTTCAATGTCAAACGTCTGCTTTGACTGATTTGAAAGCGCTATAACGTTTCACGCTTTATTTTGCGTAAAATCGTGCGTAGATTTACGTTCATTATTACGCATTCTCGCAACACATGGGCATGTATGGTTTTAACCATGAAAATGTTAGAGTGGTATAGTTTAATGCCTCGAGCGTGCATATCATAATATAAAAACCGGTACATGATTTATTTTGTCGTTATATTTGGTTTGACAATGATTTATTTAGGTGAGGTGAACTTTTGTTTGGAGCATAAAAGAATATTTCATTGTAATTTTTTAAAAACTCAAAATGTATATTTTTGTTGATTTGATCAATTCTAAAAAAGAAAAGATGCCATGCGTTGTACGTGAAATTTGTTTGCAATATTTATTTTTGTAGTGATTTGTAAATTTGCTCAGATCGATCTGTAGGTGTAATTAATCTGTAACAAAATTGCAGCGCCACCATGGCGTGGGGTTTATCGCCATATGCCACCTACCCATGTGCAGTTAGACTCTACCCTGTCTATATCCTTAGGATTTGTACAAATTATGTGTCTATCGCTGAATTAAATATATAGGAATTAGTGATGGGATGGAAAACATCCACTTCTATATCGATTGCGACCAGATTTATGAAGATTTAGTGCAGTATTGTGCGCAGCTATCTATAGCTAAAGGTTAAATCAACCAATTATAAAAATCGATTGTGAATTATTTGAAATCATGGGTATGCCAATTCAGAGATATTTATTAGAGGTTTGTGAAAAACGTTGTCTCAATTGCATGCTAAAAAGAGCATAAACACAGAGTGGCCCCCCAGAATAGAACTCAGACCATTTGTTACCTATTGTACAGAACATAACATTTGTGCAAAATGTCCTAGGTTACTGAAACTTCTCTCGTGTACAACCATACATAAGCAAAAGTTGAAGTGTTAAATATTTCTCATTTTCATATCAAAAGATTGAGAATGCATTTTTTTCTACATATTTAGTTTAAACTACCATCACGTTATATTCATTCGCACGGACACTTACATGTGCAGACGTTCAAAATTGGCGCGGAAACTATAACGTCCGACTGACGCGTCTGTCGATTGTTTTATTTTAATAATAGCAAAATGACTTTTCACGTTCGTCTACTGAAATTGAATATATTAACAACAATTAGTGTTCTAGATATGACGTGTTTATTGAAGTTAATGGCAATTTTTATGTCTTGCGTACAATCTATTGTAGTTGTGTGTATGCCACATATATGTGTAAAGAGGTTTCGTATCTCTGTCTGGCGGTCGTGTTGTCTATACGGCGGGGATAACAGTTCATCCAGATGCTAGTGGCAAAAACAGGCAGTGACGCCACGCACAACTGAAATATAAATGAAGAATACGGAAACAACAAAATTGCTGTATTAGACTGTGAATTAGTAGAAACAAAATTGTGGATAGATTGCCGAAGAATCAGAGTTTATTTGCGAGTATTTCAACAGATATCCAAGAAGGATTTCAAGAGTCTTATACTTGTATCACAGCTGGTGGACAATGATCTACTCTTTTAATCGTAAATTTTTATATATTTCTTAGGCAACAGAGTATTTCAATTTATAATAATACTATAGTTGTATTTAATCATAGAAATGATGATCGTATGTCGTGTGTTGCTTCTAAGTGGATTTCTTTTGATGTGCATCATACAAACAACCTCAGGTAATAGCTTTGAATTATAATCTTTAAGTTGTATATATTATATTATTGTACACGATATACTAGGTTATGAAAAACATGCTATAAAATTTTTGTTTTGTATCATAGAATTGGTTTATTATGGAAATAGGCAGGTGTAGCATTAAATGCGATTCGCTTGGGGTTCAATCTGATAAAACTTTTTACTATTTAGTATGAAAATCTTGCATTTTTCAACCTAAATTAATCTCATTATCAGTTTATTTAAAATCATCAGGTTCACGTCGATATATGGAAGTATCAATTGGTGACATGTACGTCACCAAGAATGTGGTGGTTTGCCGAAGTATATGTATAACGTATGAATTAAAAAATTGGAGAAAATTAATAACAATTTATATTTGGAATCGGACTATGCGAATATAAAAAAAATATTGATTTATTGATAATTAGTAAAATTTGAAATTCCTCATTATTTATAATATTGAAATATGAAAGTCCTCATTATTTATTATAATAAAATATAAAAGTCTTCAATATTTATGGAAAACACCTTATAACAAAACCCGCGTCCTTTCGTAATATGTTTGCCAACTTGTTAAACATTTTGTATAGAAACTTTACCATACGAATTCAATTATTATATCAATGAAACTCCATACACAAAGGCAGCCAGTGCACTCTGTTTTCGTGATTTTGCATCAAGAATATATCACTAAATAATGAAGACTCAAACAGTCTGCGTTCCATTGGCGAAAAACAATTTTTGCGGGCAACAAATCAATCAATTATTTTGGATCCAAAACTTGAACTCAAAGTAACCCGCTGTGTCATGTTTTGTTTATTTTTGAAAAATATTCATTAGATACCAGACACTATCAGTTGAGTTCATTTTTATTCGTTAAATCGCCATTGTGATTGATTACTGTTAAAAAGCTTAATTGCGAGCCGTATCAAACTTGGGAATGGCTTGTTTTTTCCGGATCAATAGACAATAGTTTTAATGGCATGGAAAAATTTTCCTAGGAAAATCATTTCGTTTTGTTCCAAGCGAGTATGATACAAGTTCAAATATAGTACGATTGCATCATTTTCCGCGGGGCATTTTTCAATCTCAAATACATGTTTTTTTCTAAATTCGGTGACAAACCCGTTCCTTCTATTGATATAATAAAATCTATCATACAAAAATCTAGAAGCTTGTCTAATCCCCGGCTCAGCGCAAAACCGATGTTATTATTTATTTACACTAGCTTTGTAGTGCTAAGCGGGATTAACTGTTGAATAAAATAACTAATAGTATTCGGAAATGTAAATCGGATCCTCCCATCATAATCAAATATTTCGAATTTATGAAATTTTGAAACTTTCGTTCCGACAGGCACGGCTTTTGTCTTTCAGAAGTAAATTTACTTAAACTTTCTTGGAAAAGAATTAAATAAGACGAAACATTGAATTTACGAAAATTCAAGAGTAAAGTAGGTTCTGGAATTCGAAGTCGCAACCATGCTTGAAACTAGCTAACGATTATTTCTAACAAATATTTTACATCAGCGATTTTTATTTAATAATTTTAAGGAAATTTATGTAGGTCTATTTTTCTATTTTGGGTAATCTGTACCTTCGGTTTGAGTTTTTTCAAATATTTATATTTGAGCCGAGATATTGGTCATATGTGAAGGGAACAGTATCTGCGGTTCGTGTTTTATAATTAATTCTGGACGATATAGACCCGGGTTTAAATTCTAATGGGGAAGACTGATGATAAACCCACATCCGCCACATCGACCACAGACGATAGCAAAACAGGGGAAAGTAGTATAAAATCCAAACGAGCCGGGTTTTTCTGACCTCCTCGAGACTGAGAGAGCAAGCCTTTGTCCAGCGTTCTTCGGAACGGCTATTACAGAAACACTTCATAATAGTCCCACTGGAGATAATGTATCAGTAATAACAGATACTTTAAATTAAATGGCGTTTTAACGTGAAACAAATCGTGACCCGTTTTTGTTTCAAGAGTCTTTTAGTCGTTGAAAAAGTGCAAACTCACGTTTAAAATTCGGCAGATTCCTATAATTAATGGCTAACAAAAAATGCTATATCCAGAAACAAATAGACAATAATTTGAATTTCAACATATATATATATAAAATAAATTATGTAATTCGTCATTCAGGTTGGAAAACATAAAATAAATTGCTTTAATAATTGGATAACAAACAAGTATGTAAATAGAAAATTATTGTTTACCGGTTCTGTTTAATTGTTGCCACTCTTGACAACCACTTGAAAGGTAAATTATTTGCAATTAGAACGTGATTGATAACTTTCGATTGTTTTTTCCGAATCATTTTAAAAATTAGTGTTATAATTAACATGAATTTTCCTATATGCAATTTGCAACTAGTGGAAATGAGAATAAATTATAAGATATAAAAGGGATGGCGGTTTCAATCTGTAATCTACTAATTACTCAAGTATTGAAAGTTCAACGGTACATGGGTTTGTTTGTTGGTGAATTTTTGAGAAATCTTACACATTCATCAAATGACATATCATTCTATAAGATAGATAAAAACGTGCGATAGCTGAGTGCATGACGTGTTGGTAATTTCTATCATATTAAATTCGACAATCAGAAGAGTGTTTGATTTACATATACATGACGAGTGTATTAACAAGTGATGCGTCTGAAGATAAAGGTTGAAATTTCAACCGGTTTTGAAGCGCCAATAAACAGATCGATAGTATATATGGGTTATATGATCCACGTCATTGTATCTTTTTGAATTCGTACGTTATATTCAACACCGTTTGTATTAGCATACCTAATCATGATATTTGAATAAGGTTGTCATCATTTAAAATTGTTTCGACGTCATTCAATGCATTTTAGATGACATTAATCTATCATCTGCAACAAAGAATAGTAAAAAAAGAGTGAATTCATTTAATACCAATCACCCGCGAACCCTAACGCCACAGATGAATCGTATTATATTCGACTGCCTTATTTTGTCAAACGATTCTGGCTTTGTTAAAGGAATAAATTTGATTTAGATGTCACAATCAGTATTACTCAAACCTTGAATTCATTTTCGTATTATTCGCTGTGGAATAAATACGCGTAGCCAGTAGTCTAACATTTCATAATTTCATGGGCGTAAACCGCATAATAACGTGGTATTCGTGCTGGTGCTGAAATATCTTAGTTCCTATCTCATATCAAATACTTGCCTCTCATGCCAGCAAGCCACAGTTTAAGCTTAAATTGTATCGAATGTTTTATTTTATTCAAATTGAGATCACTTCGACAACAGGAAAGTCCAGCAAATTAGGTGATAAAAGGGGAATTCGAAAATTTTTTTTTAGTGCGGACTGCAGATGCTTCTCTGTCACAAATTAAGCGTTTGTTTCCTGGAAATATTTGTAAAAATCTTAATTTCTGTTAAAACATTTTTCCTTATATCTTGATAACAAATCGGATTTGGTAAATACTGGATGGGAGTAAAATGTAAGTCAACCGAAATATAAGGTCGACTTGAGTGAATTACTGGGGCCAAAACAATTCGGTATCCAACTCCCGTTTCACTATTTTCTGTTCTCGCACACTATTCTCCCTAATTGGGGATATGGGTCATGGATTAGACAAAGTTAGCTCTGCAGATGAAGGTAACTGCTTGTTAATAAAGACACGTCCGTCTTCAAAGCGAGAGAATGAAAATACAAAACGAGAGATTGGATCTTAACTGATCCTATTGCCCAACATGGGTACTTTTGCAGTTTTAAAACGTATACAAACCAGATGAAAACAATTTTTGTTCACAAATTTATGTCTCTACAAACATGCCTTACTTTCGATTTAGGTATCACTTGCTTGGAATGCTCTGGTGTTCGTTCCGATCAAGAATGTCGTGCAACTGGGAGAATTAGAACATGTGGATATCGACAGGTAATAACCTTCAGTAATGATTCTTCGTCATTGAAGGTCTTTGGGTAACTCTTCCGTTTGCAATTTATACTATACATACTTTTTTGTATTGATAGGACGCTTGTGAAATCGAACTTCGTAATCATGGAGGATGGGGTGGTGGATTATTAATTTTTAAGCAATGCAAGGAATCAAGGGCGTGTGAGAATAATCACATTCAGGTATGTCGACTGCTACTCTCAATGTATTGATTTTCGGCGAATGTCACAGCATGTTTGCCTAATTAAATAGTATATATATATAGTAGTGATTTAATCCAACATATATTACTGACAGAATCCAAGGGACGCTTGGAAACCCACACAATGCAATCCATATGAAAGAAACTCCGTGTGTCGTTGCTGCTGCTTTACAAGCATGTGTAATATTGCCAGAGAGCAATGTTTTGGTAATATTGGATATTTGCTATTTTTTCTATGTTCTTTTTTTGTGACCTAAATCAGTTGTTATCACCATTGCATGGCTTCACGCCAATACAACAGTGACTTCTGTGTATTCTCACTGTAATAGAAATGAAAATGCATTACGTCAAATTCGATTTCATAATTGATCGATTAAATATCTTCTGATAATATTGGCCTGAATTGTTCCTTTTGTAAGCATGAACTTTTATGTTGCTCGTAGCGCGGCATTGGTTGTGAATCTGCTATCACAGTATCTCAACAATATCACGTCCTACTTGTCCCCTTATTAGCGCTTGTCCCATTGTCCTGAAATGGGGTTAGACATTTATTGTGAAGCAAATGGTTAAAGTATGCATATGTGAATTATGCTCTTAGTTAGGATAGATGTAATATATACTTTGGCAGAACAAGCGGGTTAAGTAGGACAAGTGTGGGACACGATAGTACACTTTGTAATCATTCCACATTTCGTCAAAACTTTGATTAAAGACAATTTCTTACTTTTTAACATTCACTTTAGGACAAGTGATGTGCCCTAATCCGCCAAACTACGTTCACCGAGGGATGATTTCTTGCTCAAACGGGCGACTACCGGGCAGCCAATGTAGGTATGCTATGGCTAAAGCAAATTGAAATTATAATATTATTCAAAGTAATCACATCTATCCTATACTTTTGCTATAGCACAACATGTAACTCTGGCACTAGATTGGTCGGAACGAAAACAAATTATTGCAAGTCGAATGGATACTGGAGTCATCCGTTTGCGCGCTGCGGGGGTAAGTAAATTTCTTCAAAAATTCATGTATTGGTATGCTATGTGTTTCTCGACTATTCTTCTTCAACTACCCCCTTTAAGTTGGATAAATGTCTGACTTTCACGAAACTAAAAAAATAGGTCATTTATATTATTTCTAATAATCTAAGAAAAGACAGTAGCAGATCCCAAATGGAGCATATTGGCGCTATATGTCAATTTTTACAAAAAGTATAAAAACAGTTTGTGATGCAAAACATTATTACTATTAAATACTTTCAGATATGCCACAGAAATTTAATATAAAAAACGCCAGTTTGAAAATACAAATTTTGAATAGGCTACCTAATTTTTATTTAAGATGTTATATGCCGTCAACGAATTGATATAAGAAACGGATGGTATTCATGCACAAAGGGAAACTTTGCAGGTAGCAAATGCAGGTGAGTGTAGGTGAACTATCGTAGCGTATTTTTGTACGAATAATATTCAAAACTCCAAACAAAATTCGTGTTCGTATGAAATCATTTTTTATATATTACCCAAGTTTGCTTGAATTCTGCCACAATAACATTTGTGTAATGTAAGACCTTTTACATGTCGATTGGAAATTTTGTACCCACTTTTTTGTAACTTAATATAAAAAAAAATAAAAAAAAGTACTCACTTTCATATACAATTTTATTCAGAGCACAGTGTAGACCAGGATATATTTTACGAGGTTTTAGACAAAGTACATGTACAATGTATGGGTTGTGGACTTTGCGGCCACCATTTTGTGTTCGTAAGTGAAAAGTTTTATTTCATATTATCACTAACAATATGGAATCTCTTTCGCTCATATTAAATGCCTCCACATGCCAAATATTTCATTTTTGGAATTTGCTGGACTTTGTGCTATTTATATCATAAATAGCTCAGAATCTCTTTTTCTTGATGCTACTATTTTGAACAGAATTGAGAATGGAATCTACAAATTTAATGTTCTTTCAATGCATGTATTATTATGAGCAATACATACATATTATAGCTATTCTTTGTCCAATTCCTGACCAACTGATCGGCGGGAAGGCTGAATGCAGTGACGGGAGAAGAGTACAAAGTAGATGCAGGTGAATTAATTATTATATAATTGAGTCGAAAAGCTATAAAATTTATTGGAATAGCTTCATAATTGGTCGTTGTCAATATCTATTAATACATTTAGCGCCAATCAGTCAACTACTGCCCCACATTTGTAACGTTTGCCTTCTATTAGGTTTACATGCGACCAAGACAGAACGATGAAAGGTTTAAATGAACGCCATTGCCAGGAAAATGGAAAGTGGAGCCATAAGATGCCAGTGTGTGAAGGTTGGTATAAATGGAATTGCCTCGTTTTCATAGCGGCCAGTCACTTCAATTGATTTTCCGATTAACAATCAGATGTACAGTTGTTTTGGGGGACCTGATTGAGTAGCTGTTTGGACCAAAAATTAAATTTTTGAGAAAAAATTATATTTTATTTTTAATATTTTCATGGGATATATTTAAACACCACTTTACAATAACCATTCTTGGTAATACAAAGCTTGGCACAAATATAAAAACTATACTTATTGCGGTTTTGAAAATCAAAATATATTTTTTCTAAATAATATCACGAACTTTTTATTTATTTAAAGAAATTAGTTGTCCAAAAAGACCTAGAGTCTTGCACGGGTCAACAACATGCAATAAAGGAACAACAGCAAACAGTATTTGTCGGTTAGTATTAATATCATTACTTGATAGATTTATAAGCTTGACTTGACCGTGGGAGGGATTAATTTCAAGCATATCGACGCTCATCAGCCTGTTGTTGATGTTTGATGTGATCGCATTTTTATATATTGAAATATTTAATTTGTTTCATGCCCATGGACAAATTTCAATAAGCCGTTCAGTTACATATTTAATAATTATTGGTTTGATAATTTTATATTTTTCATTTAAATCAGGTATAAGTGTAACAGGGATTATCGAATGCGAGGAGACTCTACATCAATTTGTCAAATCGATGGAAAATGGAGTAGTCCTTTGCCAATGTGTCTAAGTAAACTCATTATAATAGTTCAAATTGTAAAATAATTTAGATATTTGCAATTCACGGTATACTATATACATTTACATCATAAGCAAGGTGAGGGTTTGAACTGAACTCAGTTCAAATAATGTTCCTGAGCCATGACTTCAATACGTAGCAGTAAGTGTGTTATTGGACACTCGCCACTCGCTATCGTCAATGTTTCTGATGTTCGTGGACTTGCTTCGATTTGAGCAATCTTACGTAATAAAGTTAAATAGGATTGTTATGATTAATACTCAAGAAACTTACTTCCGGATAAACATTGGCATGCAATATTATTGAATCGTGACGAGATTCAGTAGATTGATTTATGATAATTCCCACTTTTTGTTCGTTTTCATCTTATGAATGATAAATCTATTATTGATCGTACATGCCAAATTTTTTTGTTCTTTTGTGTTTACGACAAATTGATTTGCATATGCAGTAATTGAAAAAGTAAATAGGTAATCGAAATAGGATGTGATTAATATTGTTTTGAATTATCTGTTCTGAACATTGGAAAGTCCTATTCGATCATACGTGAACAACCTGCAAAACAAATGCATAGACAGCCATGCAGAGGTTTTTGTTTGTTAAACGTTTTCGATACATCGTTACAAAAGCAACTCATGTATATTTATATGAATTGAACCTGAATCTTGATGAATGTTCTATTTTTTTAGGAATAATGTGTCCACCAAGAGGCTTCATTATGTTTGGGAAAGTAAGATGTTCAATGGGATCTTTCACTAAAAGTATATGCAGGTAATTACTGATTAATCTGCTGTGTATTTATATATATGAATATATATATGTACAATATTGATATTTGAATCAACTGTTTATTTATTCATTATTGTCAATGTAATGTGATGAGAGAACTAAGAGATGAACTTTATTTTAAAAGGTACATTTTTATAAATCGTGATATAAAAGCTACAAGTAGGAAATTGAAATAATACTGATAAACAGCAGCATGGCTCAACTTCAAATGGCCATGGTTTAGCAAACAAACTCATAATAAAGACCGAATCATTAAGAATGAATAGATTTATATTCCCATCTAATCATTATGAGCCATTTTACGACTTAAAATTGGAGGCCGAAACAGTTAAATAACGAAAAGCTATAGCGACTTCATTAGATATAGATACATTTTTACAAATATCCAGGGTTGTCCATGGTATTCCCATGGGATGGGATAGCACACAATTGTAAATCCCATGGGACAGGAAAACCGTATGATTCTCGGGAAAATGATGGTAAAACATTTTGTTATCGACTTCGTGGGCATACATTTGAGCAGAGCTCTCTTGTCGGTTATAAAAAGCAAAATATATGCAGCATTAACAATATACTTCGTGAAGGGTCTGATGGCCACATGTTAGAGGTAAGATCGGCCCAAAAAATTCCAGCCCGACCCGACCCGGGCCCGTGGGTATTAAACCAGACCCGACCCGAGCCCGACTAATTTAACTGGATTTGCAGGCCCGACCCGACGGGGGCCCGTGGGTATTGAACCCGACCATTCTCGAGCCCGCTTAATAAACTGGATTTGCAGGCCCGACCCGACCCGAGCATGGTAAAGTATAGGAAGAATATTTTCGGGGGTTAAAGGTCGAGGAAAGGTCCATTACAGCTTCTTCTTTGTTTTATTCGAATTATTTCCTTTATAACAGGTATTCCTTTGTTTAGTATCCACACATAGTTTAAGTATTTATTTCAAAAAAAGTCAGCGATAGAGAAGCCCGACCCGACCCGAACGTAAGGATTGGCATTTCAGGCCCGACCCGACCCGAAATGTCGAGTCGGGCTCGGGCTTCAGATCTTAGCTCTAGCACATGTATATAGAAGTTATGGATATAAAGTTTATAAAGTCCGTAAATTTTGTTGTTTTGCATGTCTCTTCGTGCATGTAGTCCTATATAGTGGACGCTAAACCTAAATTTAACAAATTTCATTTCAATGTGAATCCCATGGGATGGGACAAGCATAATTGCTATGGGATGGGAATGGGACGAAAATATGTCCCATGGACAAGCCTGCAAATATCTCTTTTTAAATTATAGAGCTGAATGTAATTCTGGGCATTTCATGGTCGGAGAAGCGCAAAGCACATGCTCATCGGAAGGAGAATGGGACTTTTCGTTGCCAGCATGTAGAAGTAAGTTGATCAATATATTTTTCTAATTATATAATTATTCAAAAAGTGATTGTCATGTAGTGCTTAACTGATCGAAACCTTTGCAAATTTGAATTTCGGGATAGAATGCAAATTTGTACTGCAAATAATAGACTTTGTTAATTGCATGTGAAAATATAAACAAAAATACGTCAACGTCCCTTGCGTCTAGACTCACGATTAATTAGTGTAATTTATTACGTCATGTCACAAACCTTGTCAGCATATTTTTCAAAACAAGCGTAAAGCTAACAGTGCAACGGTCTTCAGATTTCAAGCTAGCTCGAATCATAGTTGGGCCCCGATTTTTGAACGAACATATTAATGTTTCAAGTTTGCCCAACTGTTCGTAGATATACATTCACCTGCATCGAGTTTATTTCGCTTTGTCTCAATACCATTCTTGTCCAGACAAGGATGTAAAATTGTCAGTAGTAAGAGCATTTGTTCAATTCTACGTGGCCGAACATTGCCAACAAGAAGATATTAGAGCTAAGCAGATCGCCTTTCAGTGAAATTAGTCACATATAGGTGTAACAACAATGGTTAAATTGAACTACTCATCATTCCAATTAAGAGGAATTCATTCAAAATTTATTTATTCATTCAGAACGCAATATTAATATCCTCTCAAAGTAGAGAAGAAGAATTTATTGGAATAATTAAATGTATTTGATACTTTCAAATGATTTAATGTTTTAGAAACACAATAATATGTTATTACGTATGACGTTTAAATGGCATACAAAACTAAGTCAGGGGTCTTCAACTCAAAACATGTCGCGGGCCACTTTTTGGAATTTATTGACCACGCGGGCCGCAAACCAAGAACAAAGGTACAAAAATGGGTATCTGAATGTACTGTGTTGAAATTACACTTTAATCTTACAGCAAACGAACCATGAAGCATATTTATTTACTTGTGCTGGATATTTGGTTTCGATGTTTGACCTTATTTTGCGTTGGGTTGCTAGTCTTAAGACAACATGCAAATGCTCGTCCGTTAGTCCAGTGCGGAGGGCTAACTTTCATACTTGGAAAAAAACTGCTCGCTAATATAAGAACTGCCAAACATCGCAGGTATGCGACGTGAATGTGCAATTGGCTTTGCAAACCTTTCTCGGGCACAATGGACTGACCGAAACTTGTTTATTTCGTCACAATGAACATGCGAAATGAAATTATTGAATTTATAATTGAATTATAACCATAGAATAAAACATGAAAATGGATAATGGGCGGGAAATTTTTGCTTCACTATTCACAGTTTGTCGGACCGGATTCTTGATGAGAAATATCACGATAAAACTTACTAATAGTTGACATTAGTTGTACTACTATAGTTTTTGTGGAAAAATCCCAACCATGACGCGGGCCGCAAAAAAAATGCCTGGCGGGCCGCATGCGGCCCGCGTGTTGTAGACCCCTGGAGTAAACCAATGAGTCGCGTTAAAAAATAAAAAACGTACATGACCTACATGCGGCACAATGAGTGCAAAAACCAAGTGGATCAAAATTATCCCCATATATTGTTACGTATACACATGCTTTTATTCGTACAACAGAATTAGAATGCCGACCTCGGGGACCACTTGAACATGGATACGTTACGTGCACGAACAGAAATTTTGTTGCTAGTAATTGTAGGTAAGTAAGGTGATGTTAAGTATAGTGAGAAAGCTTTGTAAATCAAATGGAGACTTATTGTACAAATATATTTATTTGGCGGATTTCCTGCAGAGCGAGATGCAATAAAGGACGAAGATTATCTGGTGAATCGTCAAGCACTTGCTTAGATTCTACGGAATGGAGCAATCCACTGCCGGAATGTGAACGTAAGTAATCTTGTTCGTTTCGAGGATAAATCTGACAATCTTAGCATTTAATTTTTTTTTTTTTTGAGGTTTCGTATAGTGTTATTCTGCAATGCTCAATGGACAATTGTGTCAGGCTAAGTGTATCTATTACGTGGAACATTTTCTGGAAAGCTACTATTAAAATACATCATCGATTTCTTTTCAATATTAGGCCATAACTACAAAAAATTCTTTTAATGAAAAGAGCAGGTTTTATGTTGCTAATGATTCAGTAACTGTCATTTTCACTGTCCGTTTTCAGAAATAGTTTGTGAACCTCGAGGAACTGTGGAAGGTGGCACAGTAAAATGCACGAATGGAAATTTAGCAAAAAGCATATGCACGTAAGTGTGTTAAGTAAATGTTAGTGAAAACCGGGAGGTTAAACCGGTAAACATTAATATATACTTCATGTCATACGCTTTTCTTTTATCAGGGTCGAGTGTGAACTTTTCAGGACAATAATCAACACACCAGTTAGCATATGTTTAGACTCGGGAGAATGGAGTGCACCACTTGCTACTTGCCAGAGTAAGATTGTGAATGTCGTTTTATTCGTTTAAAATTTGCATTTTCAATTTCTTTCATCCAATCATTTACTCGACATGAAGCGACCCGATATTTTACGCAGAAATTTGCTGTTGGTTGCTCTCTTGTTTACTTCTGTCGCTGCTGTGGGTCTGGTAGGAAATTTAAGGTCAGATTGCGACAGAAAGCATTCCTATATTTTATGAATCGTTCCAAGTGAACACTTTTGTGGTATAGATATACCCACACTTTGACATTTAGCCAAGTTTCGCATTTTGGAAAGGTACAAGTTGGCGTACATAAGTTAACATAACCCACCCTGTTTAATAATGCTAAATTGTTTGATATGAAAATCTATATATTTTATTAATCCATCACAGGGCAGCAATGCAGAAATAGAAGTCGAGTAGTTGGAGGTACGGTGACCTGCACTGATGAAAGCTACGCCCGGAGTGTATGCACGTAATAGATTTGTTTAATATATTTTTCATTAGTGTCGTGCCCAATCCGTAATTTAAGCCAATAGAAATTGTGTCGTACTGAGTTCTGTAGCTTTGAAATACTGATTTTAAAGTACCATGCATCTCTGCTCGCTATCGTTCAAATAGTGAGCGTATATTCAAAAGTGTGTTCCTATAAGCTCCACGAATATAAAATTTTTATGGATTTAACCAAGCTAACTTCACGACAACAATGCACACCCTTTTCTATGCTGTTCGCCATTTTACAGAGTATCATGCAATGATGGCAAAGAAGTGAAAGGCACAGCGACCAGTTCGTGTCTACGTTCAAGTGAATGGAGCGAACCGCTAGCTACATGCGATGGTACGAATTTCTTTGAAAATAGATAGAGTTGCAATACTTCAATGGAAGTTCTGTGATTGGCTGAGCCCAAAGTGTTTAAGATAACACTTTTTTACCACAAGCAGTATTGAGTCGTTAGTTATAGCCATATTTTTAGAAATCGGGCAAACACTGGTAAAACATTCTTAAGCAAAGTTTTTGATTTGATTCGCCAATGGGTGAAATGCTGCTGCCTAGAGGAGACTTTGGAAAACCGACAAACTATAATACGTAAAACTGTGAGCCTGTTATTGTTTGGTATATTTGCTCAATTTTAAAACCTGAAACGAATTGATACAATGTCGAGTAAACCTGATTTTATATGCTCAAAAGTCTGCGAACATTTTTTCAGATATCTTGTGTTCACCACGAACTGCCATAATAGGGGGAACTGTTGAATGCACAAACAGCAATATTGCTCGTAGCATATGCACGTAAGTATTTTTGTTGTCTAAAATACTGGATATGCTAATGTTAGAAAGAACTTCTATTCTATGGTGTGTAGAAATTTAAACATCTTCAAAAGAAACGCAGTTCCGAGAAATGAGCAAAATACTAACAACCTATTTTTTATAATAAATACCATGTTTTTCCTGGGTTTTACAGAACAATCTGCCATACTGGCAGAATTATGATCGGAACTCCGTCGAGTACCTGTTTAAATTCAGCTGAGTGGAGTCTTGACCTGCCTACATGTCAAAGTAAGTATCGAATGAAAAAGAAGTATAAAACCCCTCTAGCGCCACCTTGCGGCTATGCATCCATCATGTGGAAAAGTCATCTATCCAAACAGAAAATTATGTACGTCTCCGGCAATGCCAAGGATAAAATGTTCAACCCACTCATATCAAATAGTAAAAAACCTTCCTTATATCAAAATAATATATTGCTATAATAAATGTTGGACGTAAATAAAAGTTATTGCTCACCATTTGGCCCTTTTGAAGTCAAATTATTATTTCTTTATTTGTAGAAATTGTCTGTCCTCCTCGCACATCTGTAGATAATGGAATCATTAGCTGCACAGATGAATTTTTCTACGAAAGCGAATGCACGTAAGAATTTATCAAGGAATTTGTCTTTTTCTTGTGTACTTGTTTGATAGCAATACATGTTTTTAGAGTTGCATGTGAAGTATTTTATGACATTGTGGGAGACGAATCGAGCGAATGCATGGAATCTGGGAGTTGGAGCGTTGATCTGCCCATCTGCAACAGTACGTGTTTTTTCTTTTTTTAATACTTTATTCTATATGTGAATTTATGTCTAAATACTTGATTGATGAATTCAGAAAGAATGTGTCCTCAGCGAGAAAAAATGGTAGATGGGCAAGTCACATGTTCCAATGAAAATAACATCAACAGCGTGTGTGAGTAAGTTTTTCAACACAACGCTTTATCTATATATGATATAATGAAAATAGTACTGTTTATAAATATAGCAACGACGTTCATCTCCAATGCGTTGCTAAATATTTCTAGACCAGACCTAGGTGATAATAGGAAACATGATCACACTCGGGCGACATAATTTGATCCATTTACTAACATTAAGTGATAATCATGTTTTTTTTTTTATTTTCGTGCCATGTCCATACACAATGACAAAAAGTAATATAGTACATGCTAGTTGTTTTTGCATAGCTGCCATAATCCAAACAAAAAGCGTCGTGTTCAACTAGTTATGGTACCATTTTCTGCACCCGCCTCGTTTTCAACCATACACAATGACAAAAAGTAATATAGTACATGCTAGTTGTTTTTGCATAGCTGCCATAATCCAAACAAAAAGCGTCGTGTTCAACTAGTTATGGTACCATTTTCTGCACCCGCCTCGTTTTCAACTGTTTTGTTATTTTATTCATCCTTTATATATTCTAAATATCATAGTTAATTTTTTATGACAGAGCTTTCTGTTACCTTGGATTCAAAATGGTGGGTGTGACAGATAGCGAATGTTTACCAATTGGAGAATGGAGTGACGATTTACCTGTGTGTGAAGGTAGGGATAATGGTTTTTATTGTACAATTACTTATTGCCACCCTTGTTATATCCATATTGCTATTTCGGGGAAACATATGTAAGTACTAATAAGAACAAGTTCAGCGCGCACACAAGAGTACCAGAAATGTGGTTACAATCCATAGTATATAAAGTTTATTATTATGGTTTATTATGAGTCTATTATTATATTATTATTTTAACGGTGCTTATAACTGGCTTAGTTTTGTGCACCAGGACTGTGATATTAAGCGTTTGGTGATCAAATGCTTCGACCCGTTACGAGGACGTATTCTATAACAGATGATATAATTCTGGGATTTGTTAGCAAACTGATAATATTCACGGGGCCTATATTCAGTTCTTTGCAATGATTAAGTAAAATTGATCCTGGGAAGTTATAACGGGGACAATTTAATATTAAATGTTCGATGGTTTCGTTTTCCGTGCAGGTGTCGCAAAATCCATTTTCGTGGAGTCCAATTTTATGAAGATGAAAGTTCAGACGACAGTGGCCTGTTTGTAGTCTGAACAATAGTATTTCATATCTTCTAGATAATTTGCAGGAATTATGTACTTTAATCGATGGGAAGAATAATTTGAAATGTTGAGCTTTTTCTAGTGTGATATAATAGTTATTCCATTCCATTTCGCACTTCGCATTAATAATTGACTTTGCTTCGTTTTCCGAGAAATTGATGACAGACGTTAAAATACTTCCGTCCATTGTTGCTTCTTTTGCTAGTTTGTCTGCTCTTTCGTTGCCAGCAATTCCAATATGTCCTGGGATCCACACGAAATCTACGAAAATATTTTGGCTCCTGAGGGAAGATAGAATAGTTTTAATTTTAAAAAACAACATATGATTAACAAAGTAAATTTTACTTAATCCTTGTAAAAGGCTCAGACAATCGGTCAAAATTGAAACACGTGACGGCCGATGCAAAGTTATCCAAAGCAATGCTCTGTACACGGCATAAAGTTCAGTTGTAAACGAACTTAATTTTTATGTCAAGTGTAAAAGATTTGGAGACGTCATACTTTAAAATACAAAATGATGAACCACATTCTGTATCCGTCTTTGATCCGTCCGTATAAATTAACAAGTATTGACTGTAATTCTCAGTAATATATTCATCACATATTAGTTTACTTATAGGTAACGGATCTGTTTTCGAAATAATATTCGCGAACGACACATCAATATTTGGAAGTTCCATTTCCCAAGGGGGTGACTGAAGAGGGGGTACACGATTGACCGAAATTTGCTTGAAAACATCCGATGTGGTTAGCATGTTGAAGGTTTGAAACAAGGGTGACTTCGGGTAAAGCTCGTGCCATGTTTGTTTTATTATGTTGGTATTCGGATATTGCGTAATCGATAAAATGTTGCTCTTATATCTCATGCAAGCCTGTCGATGACGAAATTTAATCGGAATCTCTCTACAGGTAACATTTAGGCAGCAGATCGGGGTGCTGGGCAAAGCGCCACAGCAAATTCGAAGAGATTTATTTTGTAACAGCGATATTTTCCTAATTACATACTTTGGTGCAAAATAATAAGCTTCTATTCCGTATTCAATTATTGACCGTATTAATACCCTGTATAATTTAAGCAAAGTTTCTCGGGAAGCTCCCCATGTTGTGCCTGTCAAAAGTCTCAACAGATTTAATCTTTTATCACATTTGTGTGTTACATGTTCTACATGAGCTTTATACTTCAATTTGTTGTCGAATATAACGCCAAGGTATTTATACTCAGATTTAACCGGCAACTCCTGTCCATCAATGTATAGATGCAATGGTGGAGGTTTACGTGATCTTGAAAACAATACCACCAACTTGACACCACGAACTGATTTGATTTAATGTCATTTGCATATCCGAAATAAGTTCGTTGATTTTTAAACCAATCTCCCATGCGGCGCAATCATCAGCGAATGTTCTGGATGTCGAGGATATATTTTTTGGAATATCATTTATCATAATTGTAAAAAGCAAAGGACTTATCACGCTACCTTGAACAATCTCATTTTCCGATTTAAAACTGTTAGAATAAGTAGAACCAACCCGTACCTGGAAAGACCGGTTAGATAAAAATGATTTAATCCACGATAAGATTCGACCCTTTATACCAATGTTATGAAGCTTATAAATTAGTCCTTCACGCCAAACCATATTGTATGCTTTTTCAATATCAATGAAAACTGCAATAACGTGACGCTTGCTTGAAAGAGCCTTGTATATATCATCGTGCAGACTAATAATATTGTCCAATGTTGATCTATTCAACCTGAAACCAGATTGTGTTTCGTGGATCAAATTAAACCTGTCAAGAAACCATTTCAATCTGTTGGCCACCATTCGTTCCATGACTTTGCAAAGATAACTCGTAAGATATATCGGGCGATAAGATGACGGCGAGTTGTCTTTCTTCCCTGATTTGAGTATCGGTACCACAATCGAATGCTGCCACGCTCTCGGTACACGCCCTTCGAACCACGATCGGTTAAAAAGCTGTAACAAGGTGGGGAGTATTTCTTGTGGTAAATTGTTTATCATAGGATAACCTATTTGATCCTGGCCGGGCGCTGTACTTTTACGCGATTGTAGCACATTTTTTAATTCGTGCATAGTAAACGGAACATTCAATGAGTTCTTATAGTCCAGGTTCAAATTGATACTTGATATATACCAATCTCAAAGTTTCGTTTCCTATCCAAAAACTGATTTTTATAATTTGCAGTACTGCTCACAGTTTGAAATGTAGACCCCAGTAGATTTGCCTTAATAAAATCACTTGTGACAGAAGCACCATTTGGATCCGTAAGCGTAGGAATATTGTAATTTCTTGGCGAGTTCGTAAACGCGTGTACCATTTTCCAAACTTTCGAAAATTGGGTTGTCGAGTTAATCGAGTCGCAGAATTCTTGCCAACAATTTCGTTTTGCTGCTATTATTATTTTCCGAGCACTAGCTCTCATCTTTTTGAAGTAGATAATATCTATTTCGCGAAATGTCCTCTTCATTTTCATATACGCGGCTTTTCTGAGTCGAATGGCTTTTGCGCAGTCATTTGTCCACCATGGTACTGACCTTTTCATAATTCCAACTTTAGATCTAGGAATTGATTTGTTGGCCACGTGAATGAGCTCAGATGTAAAACTATTGTTGAAGCTATCGACGTTTAATGTATTGGTGATACGAGGCACTAATGATGAAATTAGGTTTGAAAATTTTAACCAGTCAGCTTTTTTAAATCGCCAAGATGCTATAAATTGTTCTGCTTTAATATTTCTTACGTTCACTGATGTTGTAACAATACAATGATCGCTTCCCAGAAAATCATTTGTTACATTTGTATGACATTGTTGTGCGATGTCTGGAGAAGCTATAGATAGATCTAGTAATGACCATCGATGATCTGGATGCGAGTTGACAGCTGTATTGAGTCTTGTGGGATGCTGTGTGTTGACTATCACAAGATCGTGTCTATCGATTATATTTGCCAGATAGTTACCTCGGGTATTGTTAATTCTACTTCCCCATGAATGGTGGTGGCTATTCAAATCTCCCAAAATTAAAGTTTTGTTTCTGGAGAAAGGGATGGCGCGTGCCATTTCAGATTCCGATATAGAATTGCTCGGTGAAATATATATATTGACGATGACGATGACGATTATTATGAGTCTGATCGCTCATATAGATTTGTTGTAATCATATTACGTAGATTTGAAACATACTTTTTAAACATTAAAAAAAAAACTTTGGTAATTTGGCTTAATCTCTAACTTAATTTACAGCTATTTACTGTCCTTCTAGAAGTGAAGTTATAGATGGTTCAACAAAGTGCACAAATGGAGTGAATTACTCGAGTCGATGCGCGTGAGTTGTAGTAGATTGAGCAGTAATTTTTAAATCAACCATTTTTTGCCCCAGACTCTGTATTGTCAACTGTTTTTACAATGCAGTCGTTTCAGGTAAGGTAATCAAAAATGCTAATACTGAAAAATCAAGCGCTTACTCTTAAACAAAAAAAAAATGAACGCAAAATACATGATGAACTACATAAGAAATACCATCCCATTATATATAACCATGTGTTTATTTTCTAGAGTGACCTGCCACTTTACAACAAAATTAGTTGGAGAACAGTTCAGTGAATGTCTTGGGAATGGGGAATGGAGTGCGCCATTGCCCATTTGTGAAAGTAAAGTATTTGGAATTTTTATTTATCCGTCCTACCTGATATCCGCTATATTTTATAGCTACCTTTCTTTTCAGAATTATACTGTGATGACCAAGGGGATTTAGAACACGGTAGAATTGTTTGTACAGACGGAACTGCCGTCAGATCCACCTGCGTATTTGAATGTATTGATGAAGGCTACAATGTCTACCCGGCTGAAAGACTTCGAACAGTCTGCCAGATAAACCAACGATGGACGTTGCCTAAACCATGCTGTTCAAGTTAGTAAAAAAGTACACTATGTAAATCATTTTAAGGTACAAAATGTCTAATTATCAAAATTCTACAAACCTTTTAGGATCGTGTCCTCCATATGCACTGGTAGATGTTGTCGTTGTCATGGACTCTTCTTCGTCAATTGGTATTGAAAATTGGTTCATGCTAACTGCATTCGTCGAAGGGATACTCAGGTGAACTAGTAACGAGATAAAAATATTAATACCCTACATACCTATTCTGTTTCCTATACTTTCGAGGAAAAAAACAGTCGGAAATTGAGACAACCCTTTCCACTAACATCGCTGAAACGCCAGAAATTTGGCGCGAAAATTCTCATACTTCTGTTCAGCAAAGTACTAACCATGCGTGACTAATGCCATGACTTTGTTTCTGTGTTGCCACAATTTGTGGAATGGAAATATGCAATAAAATATATTTAGTATACAAAACGGCACCATTGCTTAGATTTATACAAAAATTCAGAGAAATCACTAACTTTGACAATAAGAAATGTGACGGATCGTCTATATTTATTTGCTCCAGGTCCTTCATTATCGACAGAACAGCTGTCAACTTTGCTATGTTTCGGTACAACAATGAAATAGATACGGAGTCTCAAATATTTTTAAACAGCTTTCCGGATGACGTCGAGAAACTTGTCCAGGCATTCAATAAGTTTGAGTACAATGGCAGGGGTGAATGGACGAAGAGCATTATATTTATTTTATTGTTGCGTTTTTTTTTCATTGAAATAAGATTTTTAGCTGACCGCTACTAACAGGCAAAGTTGAAACTTTTTGACTCTAGCTATTATAACCGTTGACACCTAACAGCCGAAGTGCTGGTAAATGAACAGAATTATTCTCAAAAATTGGAGAAATTTTGATCATGTAATGGTATCATTTACAACAGGGTTTTTTAACCTGGGATATTTTTTAACCCCTAGTGGTTCACGGGGAGATTCCCAGGGGTACTCTGATGGCAGTTGCGTTTTGATTTGTTGCTATTTATTGAATATCTTTTACTACCAGAGGAGAATGCAAAATAACAAAAACTAATTTAGTTATGTCCTCATCAGCGAAGGAAAGTATGATGAATCCTACATTCAGCATGGGTTTACTGCCATTGACAAAAATGGGCATGTTGGTCAATATATTACAATTTTGTTTGGTGTCTGATTACTGGGGGTTCGGGTTGATTGCTCCGTGATTCGGGGGTACAATTAACAGGAAAGTGGTTGAGAACCCCTGGTTTACAAAGAGAAACTTTAATCATATTTTAACAGGAACCCTAACAGGAAAGGCTCTCCAGCACGCTCTTGAGGTAAGTTTGACTCCAGAAAACGGAAACCGACCCGACATCAAAGATGTAGTATTTGTTATCACTGACGGAAAAGCAGGAGATGATGTATTAGCTCCTTCGCAAGCATTGAGAGAAAGAGGAGTAACGGTACGTGTTTTTGTTATTTTTCCAAGTTCAATGTTTTATAACTGGTTACCACTATGAAAAAAGTTCCAGTCAGGAAGTAGTTAGAGCGTAGTTAGAGCGAATGAAACTTTTGTGAAAGGATTTTATAATTGTGACAAAAGTGTGGACATATACTGGTATATTATTCATCTTATCCAACTTGAGCATAAAAAAAAAATTTGGGCAAATCGAACTTTGTTCAATTGCGCAGATTTCATCTTGAATATGAAACCTTCACTGTGAATGTTTCATAATTTATTTGTTTACTCAGGTGCTTGTACTTGGAATTAAGCCACTGAGAGGATTTCTCGATTTAAAGCAATTACAACAAATAGCGGGTAAACAAGATAATCTTGTAATTGCTGAAGCTGGATTCGCTGGACTGACATCAGAATTTGGGTTGAAACTCAGTAAAACAATTTGTGGACAACCATGCACTTGAAAATTATATTTTTGAAAGAATTGTTTCAACGTAGTAGTTTTTATAGAACATTTATCATTTTTGTGTAGCCGTAACATTCCACAAATGAATAGACAATATATATACACCAAAATGCTTTACATGTTTGGCATCGAGAATGCTATATTTATCGCTGAATATTTATAAAATGTTTTCACACGGATCCACCACGACCAGACAGATTTTTACTGTTTGCCTAAAATCTACATGTGTTTCGCGGCGAGATATTGAAAGTAGTCTCGCGCTTCTCAAAACTAAAATATTTTGTTACCACAATTCAAGTGTAAAATTAATTTATTTAAGCAACAATCACTAGATAGAGAACGTCAATTTAGCGTTAATAGGATTATATATATCACACAATTAGAAATTCCCTAAATTACTGAAAGTACAACGTTCACAAATTTGAGACCTAATTTTAAACCTTTCCTATTATTCATTCAGTTTGTGCGGGGATTGGTATTTGATAAAAGTGGCAACGTATTCAGCATTGCATTATCCTACAAAGTGCTTGAATCGAGGCTGTAGCTATGATTTTATATAAGAAGTTTGTTTTCTTTTATATGATGCTTAAAAATTGTGATTACACCTTGAATAAACATGTATCATAAAAGTGTCTATAGTTGTAAAGGGATGGCGGCTTTGTGATGACTATAGTATTTGCATTTTTTTATCCATGTAGTGTTAGAGCGCGTTAAAACGGGTTAAATTCAAATCAGTTTGAACAAATACTACTCTCTCAAAATCTGGTAAACCTCGCCAATCCTACGTTTTTAATATGTCGACGCAATAGTTCATTATTTGGTTTTAATGCGAACGTTGCTCTTGAATTCCATCAGTCAGTTGCGCAGAGTGAGGTAATCCCCTTGTTTCGGACCTCAATTTATTTGCTTCTATGTCTCTCCATGCGCCAATTTCTGGAAACATTCTATGCTTTTGGAATGAGGCCGAACAAAATGAACAACTTTTATGATATCCCTGAGAACAATATCCAAATTCCTTATCTGAGCTTTTTCATAACTTAGTTTTTTTCACGACAATAGCATCTCGATGTATGCACCGTTAGCAAGATATCAATCACACTGCTGTAAAAAGCATTATGACGTTTCAACTATGGCAAGCAGATAACAGAAAATCGGAAAATGACCGACATACGTTAGCCTTAAGTTTAAGTATAGGTTAAACCGTTAGATATTACATACCAGTATACCACTGTCAATATTAACCTATTCAATTAAAATATCATGTGTTAGTGTGTACCCTACAACATTTGGTACGGTGCACCCTATCGGTGTGGTACACCCTTCAAACTTTATGGTACACCCTGGGGTGTATTATACACCCGATTGACGATTTTTGCCAATTTGTCACTTTAAAATATCATCAAATATTACCCAAATTAATACTAAAACTTTGACTATCAACGGAGCACCCGTAAATTCCAATGAGCAAAAAACAATGATTCATACTCACGGGACACGGGACTCGCTATTTTTAACATGAACTATAGGTCATTTCATTAAACTTTCAAGATATTTAACCTAATCGTGCGCATCCCAAATTCCCCTATCAAAAACGAGACAAACTAGAATTTGATTGGTCTATAAAAAAACCTTCTTCCCGAAAAGTAATAAATAAAGATAGATAAATTATCCACAAAATCGAGAAACCTCCAGTTCCATTTTTAATAGACTGATCAGGACAAAGAAATATAGAGTGGTGGGAGAAAGGTTAGCTGTTCTAGCTAATTATGTTGTTATCTCATAGACGAATCTGTTTGAGGTACAATTTATACTTTATGATTTAAGTTGTGTTTTATAAAGTCTTGTTATTGATGATCGTAATTTGTTTGAACGGAGCGATAAAATATTATTAAATTATGGAAACTGTGTTGATCTGTTATATAAAATTAACAAGAGTTCCTAATTTGAACACGTATAACTTCTGATTAATATAATTGTTTTATATTGGAGTCTAGATTGTAGAAGTCTAAGATATAATTAAATGAAGTAACTAATCAACAACTAACGAAGAAGATAACAGCAGCAACAACTTTGCTTACAATTTTTATTAAATTATTTTCTATAATGAGTGAAATAAAATACATGTTACTGTATAAATTTGATAGTAATTCCGTTTATATTTCATGGAGTAGATTGTAATAATAACTAACATTCTTCACAAATACTGATATTTATTGGACAAATAGAAAGTCAGCAAATAATATTCCACAGCGGTGGTTTCAAAAACCCTCAAGTATATTTCTTCTGCTATTTTACTGGCAACTCACATTCGTAATTGAAATATTTCTTAAGTAAACTAATTTAATAATAAATGAAAAGTAAAGACACATAAATTTTTATTGACGATGTTTCCATATCAGCCTCTTGTTGCGTCGTAAATAGTTTCTACTCTTTCCCAATTTTGAGAAATATATATAGCAATACCACCAGGTAGTTATAATTGTTAATATTGTCATATAGAACTATAGTCACGAGACAAGGACGATTCTTGTTTTTCTCAGTGTTGAAAAAAAAATTTGCGGAAGAGAAATATGTATATATAAATTGATCGAGTAGGCTTGCCAAGTATTTTCTATTAGTCTACAATTACAAAAGAAGAACGTCAAAATGTTTTTTAAAATAGCGAGCCTTTTTATCGTGAGTGTCCTGTTCCGAGTTTCGTCGACTTTTGATTTTAGGTAAAGTTACGAGAAATATTTTTTATCTTTTTCTAAATTTGTGAAATATAATATTTATACTCGTAGATAATTCAGTCCAGGAATCTGGAACGATTACCTGGTTAAAAGACCCCGTCTTCGACATGAACTGGTAACCGAACGAGAGGGCGTGGTAATTAAGCAGCTTTCTCGCCTTTCTTTCCCACACTGACTCAAATGTTCATAACCTAAATCCTATTTATGCTTTTCAAACTACAAAAAGTTTTTAAAACTGGTTCACCAGCCAAGAGCCATGGCTTCTTTTGGCTTTCAAATTATGTGAATAATAGATTAATATTATACGTACAAATTATGTTTCCAGTTCGACAGAGGCAATCGACAATTGTTGTCAACCCGTGCTAGACAAACCTCCTGATCTCGATGTAAATGGATTTGAACTTCAGCATCCTAGCGTTCTTGTCCTTTGTAACAACTTCAATTTCACGACTACAATATGTTTGCCAATATGCTGGGATCCAGTGACAAAAACAGTGATACGAGACCGAAATCTAAAATATGAAGTCGAACCGGTCAATGTTGACAAAACAGTTTTTTCATGATGGGGAGTGGATCTGGTGTCAAACATCACAATTGGATGCCGTTGTGTTTTGAGACGTTAATTCCTATACGCTACTTGAACTGCAACATATATATATCAACTTTTGTTCTGAAATTTGAACGCAGGAATTATTATTAATAATAGTATTTATTTAGTTATTTATATTTATTCACTTTTTTCTCGTATGTGCTCACCCGCCTCACTATTCCTGAGGGTGTTCGTTCACTTCGTTGCGTGACTTCATTTTCTAGCAGATGTGTATTGAAAAATTTCACACACCGTCTAAAAATCAGTTGCTATTCCGTTTATCCCATCAGTACTTTTCAAGATATATTGAATGAAACAGGCGAAATTTCCTCAATTAAATGATATAACCGCAAAATTATTTAATTTCAAGTCGATGATATCTTCAAATAATCTATACGTCCACATGGGTTATACAAATGGCTCAGGTTTTTCACTCTTTCCCTTATGAAATCATTTACTACCTCAAACATATAAGTATACAACACGTAGCGTCTCTTCAAGACTGCAAAACAAAGTCAGTATATTTATATTGGTCGTTTATAGACTAAATATAGGGCTCTTTGGGTGATCATTAAATATGTTTCTACTAGACAATTATCAATTGAAAGGCGCACTACTTTCAATTACAATGTAAATTTGTATTTTTCTGATATTTGTTATCCAAGTTCATCTTCCTTTTCAATCAAATAACAATGTCATTTGTTTTATTTTTGTTTTGTTCCACTGCGTCTAATAATTTTCTACCGTCATCAAACGATTGTTATGAAATTACACATTATTTTTCGTTAGTTTATTTATTGTACTTATTTAGGTATCATACCGGATGATTTTATATTTTTGAACCGATCATGATTTCTATTTTTTCACGATCAGTATTTTCTCGGTAAGTCTGAACTCGATTTGCGAGACTTTGTATTCGATTCAGCATGAGTATATAAGGCTTCTTTCATCAACCAAATTCCGTGTTTAGCTCACTACCAAATCTATTCTAAAAATTAATTTTCTACAAAATTTGAATCAAACTATTTGATTTGATGCAATGAAGAAAATGATACCATCACGTTGAAAAATGATATAGCATATTTTGACATCACGATCCACTCGAGTAACTTTTTCACTCATCTTTCTAGTCTCGCTCTACAATACTACACCCGTTGAACGAGGTGCGCTATTGGACCATGCTAAGGTTGTGAATATTACGTCTTGAAAACAAATACGAGACATAGATAGTTACAGATGCCACTATGAAAATTTCTCCCTACCAAGAAATTTGCCTGGTCACGTTATTTCGCGTGTCCGCCATTTTGTAACATTTTATTCCGTCCATGAAATCTTTTTTCTGTCAACTAAGTGAGAGAAGAAACAATTGAGATAACTTCCCCAAGTGGAATGCGGCTCGATGGCCCCTTCTCAGTTTACCGATTGCCACTTAATAAAAAAAACTATTTTCTGAATGGGTCGTTGTCACACAATGAAAACGACTAAGAAAAATCAATAAAAACCGCTTTAAATATTAACAGCTTATGGGTCTACAAATGTTGACTTATTGTAGTATCGGGTATTATGTGTTCAATCTAAAACCTTAATACAAGATATTCTTTACGATGGCTATTAAAATATTACAACCTGAACCGTATCGCTTCCGATTTGCCTACTTGTAGTTTCAAATCATAGCTAGGGATTTATTTACATCTGGCGTATAATAGACACCCCGATAGGCTAAACGGAAAGACAAAAATACAATACGCTTAATTTTGATTGTGTTTTACATTGAGTACAGTCAATAAAACTCGCGCCCTCGTATGCATAAAAACACAAAAATTAAAGAAGGTCAACTCGAGATGTCTCTGGGATTTCGTCACTAAAAGTCAGTGGACAGTCTGATAAGTTTTTGTTGGAAATTCCATGAGACGTAGCAATGAAGCAACTGCAAGCAGCAAATTTTTATTTATTTGATATTTAACATTTGAATTGCTGCATCCGATGAAAATTTGATGGTTCGTTATGAAAAAATGCACATAATTATATTCTTATCCGGTCTACTTAATATATATATTAGAAATCCGTTGTGCCAGAATAATTATAATATTAGCCATTTCTCATTTGACAAAACGCTGCTTGACTTGTCGTACAGATTGCATCATCCTAACTGAGCGAATTACAAAACGAAGTTTTACCGCCTAAATTTCAAATTTGTTTGCGATACGAAACCAAAAATTCTTAAATGT